ATTGCTTGTTTGTACTTCTTTAATTTGATAAAAATGTTTGATTCTTTGTATAGCTAGTGTGTGGTTCAGACGTTGCCTCGAGTGTTACTTTTTCTTTTTTTACTTCATATGTATTTATTGTCTAATTTGTAAAAAATAAATAAATTATATAACCTCTAATTAACTAAATAAATGAAAGGAATCTATAATATTATGTGTAATTTAAAACATTAATAAAAGTTGGTTGAGACGGTAGATGTATGACATTCATGTGTTGGAGGTTACGGGTTTGAAAACTCAAAGCATAATTATTTATTTATTTATTTTGTTTAATGAAGTGGTAAACTTACGTGGCACATATATTTTAGTTAATGATGTGGCATTGTAACATGGTGCATAGGGGTGTTCAAAAATTGGTCCGGACCGAAAAAATGGACCAGACCAAATTAATCGGTCTGGTCTTCGGATCGAGAAATTTATTTTTCCAGTCTTCGGTCCGTCCGGTCCAAAAAACCGGACCGGTTTTTTGGTTAAAATTATACATAAAATCTTTAATAATGATTAAGATTATCCTTAACAAGCTTGGAAAACTTTAGTTGCATGAGCTTTTTTGTACTAAACATACTAAAAAAGACGTTAAAATATTGTTTTTCCTTTATTTTTTTTTTCGAGTTTTCCATAAATTATTAAAAAATTTAAATTTTCTTTATAAAAAATCTAAAATCAGTCCAAACCGATCTGGTCCGGGTTTTGGACCGATTTTTTGTCCGGTCTGAGTTCGGTCCTAGCTTATTCGGTCCGGTCTTCGATTCTTGAAATTCAATTTTTCGGTCCGGTCCGATTTTAGACCGATGAACAGCCATAATGGTGCATATATTTTGAAGAGTGCCACGTGGCACCGTTCTTCTGAAAGGAACACTTTTTAATATATAGTCTAGATATCTTAAAATTTTAAAAGGTTGGTACCCAAAATTTTGAGATCGAATATCCATTCATCCAACTACCACATCATAACGCAAATACTCCAGCAGGCTACTAGTATAGCAGGACATGCAATCTGCCAACGCAATAAAACAAGGCCCAAAACTAGATGACCATCTAAGGAGCCCATTACAGAGATCCACTACACTTTTATGTCTAAGTTGATTTAGTTTTTAAATACCTTTGTTTGAAATCAATAGTTATACACTTTCATCAATAGTTATTAGTTAACAATGAAATTCAATTAGGAAATGAGTTTCATTCTAAATACAATTAACAATATCTCAAAGATCATACAAATCAAAATAATTGAAGGAGCTTGCTTTCATGAAATGAGTTTCATTCTAAATACAATTACAAGTCCACCAAATTTTACTAATCAATATTGTATAACCAATAGGAAAATCCATTCCAAAACACCATGGAGTGTATGTCCTCCTAGGAAGACAATAGAATCAAGCCTCCATCATGGTCGACGAGGAAACTTGGAGAACTCAGGGCGCCTTCTTTCATTGTATGCTGTCTTCCCTTCGTTACCTTCTTCCGTTCCATAGAATAAGAGCGTTGCATCTCCTCCAATTTGCTTTTGTCACGTCCAAAATAACACACATTAACTAAGGTTTATTATACTACATTGTACTAATGATTTATGGTATGATTTAGATACCTGAAGTCCTGCATGACCATCATCAACTGCATTGATAGCTGATTTGAGTACTCGAATTGCAGTAGGACTATTTCTCAAGATCTCGCGACACCATTTTATTGTCTCTTGCTCCAAACTCTCCAACTGCACAAGAAAAGTTATAATTTCTTCAACGTGTAAGCACCTCAAACCCCAATTTTTAATCTGAATTCTGCATTAGTTACAAAAGAATTACTTACAGGTACAACTGTGTTGACAAGTCCCATTCTTTCTGCCTCATTTGCTGGGTAAAATCTGGTAAGAAACCACATTTCACGCGCCTTTTTGGGTCCAATCTGCTTGACCAAATTCCATATAAAAACCATTTGCTTAGCGTAATGTTCTTGCAGAAACCTTGAGCAATTCAAGAGCTATCAATCATTGAGCTTTGATACTCACCAAACGAGACATAATTGAACTTCCATAACCCGCATCAAAACTGCCTACCTGCAATACACCACCGGCAGATATGCATATGTTATAAGCAATAGCTGCTGCTCTACAATCTGTACTCCAAACCAACAGAATATAACACATTTACAAGCAACAATGTTCAACAAGTGAAAAATAAATGGCTAACCTTTGGACCTGTCTGCCCGAAAATGGCATTATCAGCAGCAATAGTTAAATCGCATACCATGTGCAGAATATGTCCTCCTCCAACAGCATAACCAGCAACCTGAACAAAAAATCACACAATTATATATATAGACATAAAGTATGTAGCTAAGCTAGACAAATCCCATAGATTGCAAGATGGAAAATGAACATAGTCACATACCATTGCTATAACTGGTTTTGGAAGCCGCCTTATTTGGACCTACTTGAAGATGAGTACAAAAGTGAGTATAAGATGCAAACTTAATGGGTTGAATTTAAGAGAGATCAAAGATATATATACACCTGCAAGTCCAAAACATTAAGACGACCAATACTTTTTGAGTCGATATACCCATCCTTGCCTCTTATTGCCTGATCTCCGCCACTGCAAAATGCCTTGGTCCCCTGTTGAAGAACAATTTCTTGAAATTACATACCAAACAATTCCAAGAAGATAGCATCCTTATATCATGCTCAAGCTGTAACGCGCTGAATTCTGTCCTTAGAAGCCACTCTTTTAAAACAAATTTACTCCCTAACTAATCTTCTGTATGCATGACTGCCATGACATGCATATATGCTCAGTTTATTTCAGTTTAAAATGATCACGTTTCTATTTACACAGCTTAATAATAGTTAAGAAAAAAAATACTTTTAGATGGAAGATAGAGGGAACTAAGAAAACAAATCTTAGCCAAGGTGGTATTTAGTAATGGCAAATGAGTCATTGGGATTATATTCAGTTAGGATCTATCTCGGGTTATCTAGTTTTAGGTACAGTTCACTTATCCAGGTCCAAGTCAGGTTATTCGGGTTGGGTCAGATATACATCACATAGAACTAAATTGAAGAGCATATAATCAACAAAAACACAGCTTGCATAGTTGCATTACATTACAAAATTCATGAAAATTAATGCATGATTACCAATCCTTAATATATATATTACAGTAACAAGCAAATGCAACCGAAACAGTCAGGTGATCCAAAGTAAATCAACAAGGAAGATGATACAACTAACGAAAAGCAGCAGAGTTAAATTACCTTGCCAGTTAGAATGATAACACCAATTGAACTATCATCCCTTGCATCATCAAACGCTCGAATCAGCTCCTTGATTGTTTCTGGCCTAAAAGCATTCCTTCTTTCTGGCCTATTTATTGTAATCTAACACCAATAACATGTATTCTAGGATCAATCACTCAATTATCAAATTACACTGATTAAATAGGATTGTGCAAAATAATGTTACTGATGTACATGTTATCCAGATTTTTTTTTTTTTTTTGCTGGGATTTTGACTCATATTGTGCAAACTACAACATTTTTTAGTAGAGCAAACAATCTTTAATCCGTCTTAGAGTTATTAAGAGAAACTTGAACCCGAACCACCTAAATTTCACAAAACTATTCTTACTTTGTTATAATGTTACTGTAAACAAATTTTTGATGTGTTTTGACCATAACCAAAACTGACCCGAACTCAACCCGAACAGACCCATTTACCCAAACTGTCAGCTCAACATATTCAATGGAAAGAACCCAATACTTATTCATCACAATGAATTGAGTCAATTGTCAATAATTCAATATTATGAGTGCATTGCAAAAATTATGAATTATTTTATTTATTTATTTTTCTTTGTTTTATAACAGAGGAAGTACTAGTTCTTGTAAGAAGTTGTCCTAAAAAAAAAAAATTGTTGTAAGAAGTGATCACCTTAGCAATGGCTTCACCAACGGCTTTTTCGTAAATAATATCAATGAAATCAATACCAGAATCATCAGTAGCAGCTTTCCAGACGACAGGGTCAGCCGAAACCTGACCATGAACCTTGTGGTAGTTGTCATTCATAGAAGTTGCTGACAAAGAAATGGAAGACTGATGAAGTTGATGGGATTTCGAGTGTGTTACTATTTCTGGGTTAACATGGTTGGCTACTTTTGCAAGTCTCCTCCTTGCAATCTTCAATTCTTCATTCTCAATTCGCGACATTTTCGTAGGATAATACAGCTTTTTAACTGGGTTTGAGCTGAGTTTATGAAACTAAGGGGAGAAAGATGTTATTTTTGATGTAGTATGAAATATGGTGATAGGATAAGATAAGATAAAATCATATCATATGGTTTTTTGTTTTGCCAAATACTACATACTAGTACTGCTAAAAGTCATAATTTAATAAATAGAGAGCACTAATCAGCTAGCTCAACTAAATTTGCAACGTGAATTTGTTGCTACTTTCAGGATGATTGGGTGGGTAGGTCTTAATTACTAATTAATAAGATTCATGAAATAAAACGCGAAATAAAATATATCATTATAAATGTAGGCATAAAACATATCCTTTGATTTTGGTTTAGTTCGGGGTTTCTTTTTTTATTTGGGTCTAGATGAGCTAAAAAGACGCTATAAATTACAAATGGAGAAGGGAAGTGACAAATTTGTGACCTATCATCAGCTCTTGAGGCCTTGACCTTTGCCACTAGCCAAGACCTCATACTTAGGTCATTTGACCGCTTTGAATATATTGGAATAAGGTCGCGTACTAGTATTTAGGTCAAAATATTATAAAATCGATCAATATTAGTCGAAATATTTTTGGGCCATGTAAAATTGATCAATAGCTTATGTGTTTTTCCCCTGTACCTGTTTTTAACCTCACCTTTAATGGTGCAGATCTGATCTGTAATCTTGACTTTAAGACGGTTTTCCTATGATGTTCACTTTCAAGCTTCTAATACCTGTACATAAGAGTTAAGAGCCAAGATAACTGGTACTTGTCTTATACTCACAAATGAGTCCAAATCCTATGACTACAGCATGATACCAACCTGAACAATGGATGAATCAATAGAAGTGTCTTGAGCTTGACCGATGTTAGTGGAGATACCGAAGATCAAGTCCAAGAGACTCTTAGTGTATGAATAAATCTTACAAAACTCATCAAATTCTATACTTCATATACATTGCATTTGACAAAAGATCCTAGTACTACATATTCGTGGCTTATTCAAATAGGGTAATCCCCCCTAACCCCCGCCTCCGAAAGAATTCAGTACAACTGTACAGGCAAATAAAAAGAAAAGTGAATGAAGAGCACCCAATTGACCAGAAAAGTAATCTATGGTGTATGAACTATCAGGGTCATTTTGGTAGAATCACTAGCCAACACTCTTCTATTATTCTGTTTTTTCAGTTTGAATTTATTGATTTTTTTCATTAAACGTCGTCAGGAATAAATAATTGTGTCACTCTCTCCCGGGATTGGTTGATTATTCTTCCTAAACCAGATGTGCCTTGTAGTCTGTCTGCAATCATAAAAACTTCTCCATTTCTTCACAGGCCTCTTTCGCGGAGTTTTCGACCTAGAGAAGGAAAAAGAACATTATTCTCATGTGCTACTAAAATTTGAGATAAAACCCCAAGACGCCCTAGTGAAATTTTAAAAGAAAAAATTCACTGAAAGGTGGATGTTGTGTTTATCATTTCAAGAACATAGTTTCACACCAAATGAAAAAGCGTACTTAAATAAGTAAATTGAAGAGAAACTTACCAATAAAAGCCTAAAATAGAAAGTAATTTCGTGACAATGGAATAGCTGTTGCTGGAGAACATGTGAGCACCTCGCCATCAGCAGTAACTGTGTAAGTATCAGGGTCAACCGTGATCTTTGGCAGGGAATTATTGAGTTTCATGTCTTCTTTGGTAACATTCCTTACGCCACCCACTGCTTCTACCCTTTTGTCAAGCCCGTACAGTTCCTTCACTCCCCTGTCTAGAGCTGCCTGTTAAATGGATAATTGAGCAGAGCTAAATGAGCTTATTCTTTGGTGTGCATGACTCTCACTGACAATACACACAACCATAAACAAGTCATGGAGATTTTGTTTTTACTATTCGTTCATTTGAACTATTTTCTTCAAATGCAATATGATATCACAAAATGCTACCCATTGCGTTTGAAAAGACAGTTATGTTTCAATATTCAGATAATAAGAGATTAGATGACTATAAGTGAGAGTACATACGTAATAACAAGAGCAAAAGAAATAGCATATACCCGGAGTAGTAAATATTTTGAAGGTGATGTGGGGTAAGACCTGTGTTTTGAAAAACAAACGGATTGATAAAACTAACTTATGGTGATCTTAAAGAATGTGTCCCTAATGACAAAGAAATTACAGTTTTTCAATTTAAGATTTCTAAAATATGCAGGGCAGTTGTTTAGTCAAGTTTATTCAACTTTAAAAAGACAGGTCCCGTTGGAGACATCTCTGGCCTCACAGATACTTCCCCCACAAAACAAATGTCTCGTTTAAAAAATTGGGAAATTTCAACCAAGAACCATAAGCTTAAAATACAAAGTATGAAGTATGTTTTAGCGGAAGTTCAAAAGATTTCAGAAAAAACTTAGTATCTAAAATTCAATTCATGGCTAGGGGTGCAAACGAGCCGAGCAGAGTAATACCATGCTCATGTAATGTTTAAGTTCATTTAACTTAGGTGAGTCCGAGCTCAAGCCCGAGCTTTCAAGCGAGCTAAAAAAATTGTTCAAGCTCGGTTCATTTACTACACCTATAAGTGTTCGAGTACGGTTGCAGGATAAAGTTGTGAAAATTTTTCAGCAATAAGGTCAAACCAACATATATATATATATCCCAAAATAATTCCCATGGATGAGCAGCCCCACTTTTCCATTGGATTTCATAACTCAGGTTCTTTATTCAAAAGATTCACAATGTAAATGTCTATAATTTCTAATTGTATTGTCCATTTTACAAAAGAGTTTTGCATATACCTTGCTGACAAAAGCGATCGAATTAGCACTTCCAGCTTTTCCGAAAGCTCCAAACATAGGCCGCATGATCACCTGCAACAAAGCCTTGATAGATAAGAACTCAGCTAGATGCGCTTTTATAACATAACACTGGATGCTTCTACTCGGGGACATTTTCTTTTTTTGAAAGACTACCCAAGGACATTTTCAGTACCTTTCAACTAGTATGGCCAATAAATATGCAAGCTACATGATTAGATCTTCCCTCCATCACTCACATTTGATTGGGGATCACTTTCAAGGAACTGAGTTAAAATCCATGATTATCTTTAACTCTTTTAAGTAATACATCTCCAACATAGCAGTTGGATTTCTTAGTTAAGGCCTTAATAATATCATAAAATATAAAACGATAAAGTTCAAATTTTACTTAATACGGTGTAATTAGAAAATGTTCTAATGCTACGCGACAACCAAAAATAGAATTGTAGCAAGTATTTATTAAGGGAATCAGGATGGAGGGAGCATCATGTGAATGCTAAACGCTTAATTTTCTGATGTTTGATAAGCTAAGACATCGAACTAGTAACAATAATTCCTTTAAACAATGACAAAATATTGTTACCGGCTCTGGTGTTGGTATGCTAGCATTAGCATCACCCATATTAGCCCATGCAATTTCACCACCTTTAATGATTATTTCTGGTTTTGCCCCAAAGAAAGCAGGATCCCACAAAACAAGATCAGCCAACTTCCCAACCTGCAGGGAATAGTAATTCAATGAAAAAAACTTGAAAACTTCATGTATCCTTTCTTGTGTATTATGCATATGAGACCCAAGTAAATCGTGAAAAAAAAAGAAGGGAAAATTAGTGTTTAAGGAGAGTTATAAATGATGCAAATTTTATGCCAAGCTAGTTTAAGCAACATACCTCAACTGATCCAACATACTTAGAAAACCCATTGGCTATGGCAGGATTAATAGTGTATTTTGCTATGTAACGTTTAATTCTGAAATTATCATTGTCAGTTTCACTTGGCGGCAGTGGCCCTCTCTGTAATTTCATCTTGTGTGCAGTTTGCCAAGTCCTACATATAACCTGCATAAATGAATATAATTGAGACTAGAAAGTTCAACTACTTGATATACTGGTATATTAATCTAACAGAACAGCTTCTTGCCAGCACTGAATTTCCTGGACTAGTACTGGGGATAGCTTTTTAAAATGGTCATATGGAATCATAGATATGGAAAAATACTGCATAAATCATTAATATCTAATTATCTATATCAATGAGAACAGAAACGAAGATCAACACAGCTACTTTGGTACTTAGTAATTTACCTTTTGTTGTGAAATTCAGTGTTTATTTTATACCCAAAACAAAACGATTCATATGGAAGTAATATATTCATTTCACGCAACAAAGTGCAACTCACATTCTTACCCCTAAGACAAGGGATCAACTCTCTCTTGGGATTCTCCTTCCCTAAAACATCCCCCCAGGTGGCACACTCCTCACTATATGACAAAAGGTTACACAAAAAAAAATGCAAATTGTGACAGAAAGGAGAGGGAAGAGAAAATAAAGATAGGCAAATTTACTTTGCTTTACAATAGATGATGTCATATTAACAAACCTCTCCAATGCGACCCATAGCCTGTGAGTCAGAAGATATGATACTAATGGCACCAATGTCATGCAGAATATCTTCTGCAGCTATTGTTTCAGCACGGATTCGTGATTCAGCAAAATGCACATCTTCTGGAATGTCCTTGTCGAGGTGATGGCAGACCATCTGCATGAAGACAGAAGAAAAAGAAAAAATCATATATGGGGGGGCACACACGGACAGTGGGAGATGAAGGGCCATACCAGCATATCAAGGTGCTTATCTACTGTATTCGAAGTGAAAGGTTTAGTAGGATTAGTTGAAGACGGAAGAACATTTTTAACTCCGCAGACTTTGATTATATCAGGAGCATGACCACCACCTGCACCTTCACTGCTCAAGCAATACCATGAACAGATACATGCAGATAGTTTCAAGTTCATATTTTTGTGTACTTAACAAATCGAGTTTCATCATAAACATAGGTGAAATATAAACAAAACTCACACCTGTGGTATGTATGAATCGTTCTTCCTTTAAATGCATCAATTGTGTGTTCAACAAATCCAGATTCATTCAATGTGTCCGTGTGGATATTGACCTGGCAAAAGTGGCAATGAGACAAAAGAGAAAAAATTCAAGCCCATAGTAAGTAGTATGCTTAATTAAGACTCAAAATAACAAAATCTAAAAACTGAATATTAGTGCAGCAAGCCAGCAAGTCTCAGTTGCAGCTATTCCACAGCTAGCTTGCTTCAATTTTAAAACCAATAGTCCAATAGGTACTGAAACACTAAAAAAATGTACAGAATAAGCATAATAAAAATTAAAATTAAAAATAAAAAAAAATGAATTTTTATATATCCATTTAAATGAGGGAGGGATTCAAAGAGGAGAGAGATAAGAGACAAAGAGAGGGTATATTTATACTATTTTGGGAATTTCTAATGAGTTAGGGTCAATCTGAGAAAACACCCTAAACTCAAGGCACTTTGTATAATCTCCCATTATATATAGAATAAATCCGTGCACAGGACTTATATAGCAAAACATGGCTTTCAAGAAATTATTAGATATGAACAAGTCGTACAAAATAAAAAGGCCAGGTCTACGAAAAAACAATTACGATAGCTGGGACGACAATCATTTGGATATCAATCCATCTACCATATTCTTGAGATAGATGCTACGGAGTAATACCTGAATATCATATTCTTCTGCAACATTAAGACAACTATCTATTGCAGCAGGGGTCGTTCCCCAATCCTCATGAAGCTTCAGTCCCATTGCTCCAGCAACTATGATTTCAGGAAGTCCTTCTGGCTTAGAGCTATTCCCCTAGTGACAAACAAAAGTAGTTATAAGAGTTAATGTTTCAATCAGAGACTGAAAACCTAAGAATAGTTACAGGTGAACAAAATGGTAAATACACCCTCTGCCCCTAAAAGATTGCCTCATACCCTATTTGGTAAAATTTCCCACTTGCAACCCAACTTGTTCGCTCTATCTATCTCTCATCATCAATAATTGTGTCCCCCCATGTGCACAAATTTGGCTTTGCTTCTTAAAAAAGTGAAGTTAAAGGTTTGGGCAATCTTAGGGACAGAGGGAGTACAAAGGATAAAATTATGCGTATTCATGCCACTTCCCAGCACCCAAGTGAACAAGCTTAAAATTTATACAAAACAATGACGTAAGCCTACCTTACCAGTGAAACCAAAGTTCAATGGAATATCATCAGTAGATTTCAACATAAATTTCATGTGTGAAGGTGCAGGTGTGCAGGTAGTTGCGCGTGTCCCAGAAGAAGGTCCAGTTCCACCTCCTACCAAAGTAGTAATTCCTACAAATGCAAAATAAGTTTAACAGGAAAAAGAAACGACAAGATATGTTTGACAAACAAGTTGAAGTTGGTCCAGAATCCTAAATAGTATTTTGACTTCAGTGTATTCATGAGCATTACATCATATATCAGCAATTTTTTATTTAAAACTATGGAACAACTACAGCCTTTTTTTTTTTTTTTTTTATTTGCAGCAGCTCACACAGAATTCAGATGAATTAGATCTCACCACTGGATATTGCTTCAGAAGCCAATTGAGGACATATGAAGTGCACATGGCAGTCTATAGCCCCTGCTGTAACAATCATTCCTTCTCCAGCAATCACCTCAGTATTGACCTGATACATTTGATGATAAAAAAAATCAAATGCATTATGTACTTGTAACAAAATAGAAATCTAATTAGTACAAGTAGCACACAAATAGTGATTATGGTTACCCCAATGATCATGTTGGCTGATACACCATCCATTGTATCTGGATTACCCGCTTTTCCAAGGGCAATAATGTTACCACCCTTAATACCAATATCTGCCTTAAATATTCCGGTATAATCAATGATCGTGGCATTAGTGATAACAGTGTCCAGACAGACAGCTGATGGGTACCCAGAAGCCTGACCCATTCCATCTCTTAGAACTTTCCCACCTCCAAAAACACATTCATCACCATAAACTGCAAAATCCCTTTCTATTTCTGCAAACAAATCAGTGTCACCAAGCCGGATTTATCACCAGTTGTAGGGCCATACATGTTTGCATAAGCCTCACGAGACATAATTTTAGCGAAATTCGATTCTCCGGTGACTCCTCCACTGCAAACCAATTAGGAGGGGGGTCTATAAAGAATTCAAGCTATGACATTCAAGTGTCTAGACATAAATACAGTATGCAGTAATTATTGACCTGGCATTATCTTCATCTGAATGTCCAAATCCTCTATAATGTATAGTGTCCATTATAGTTTTAATTTTGGCATCATCAACTGGACCATCAGCAATGTTGTTCCCCCCTCTAATGCACCTTTTGCCTCCAATACTTACAAGAGTGACACTTTTTGGATCCCCTGGCTAGCAAAATAAAAGGAACAAACAAACAGAAGAAAATCAGGTAAATATAAGATTCAACAATAACAGAAATTAGAAATATCAATAAAGCAACCTCTTAAAACAAAGTCAATTTTGGGTTTGGTTGAGAAATTGAAGGAAATACATGATCATTCCAATTCCATATCATTTAGGAGTTATACAATAATCCTAAATCTATAGATGGGTGAGTGGCAATAGAGGACTCATCTCTTCACCAAAGAAAAAAAAAAGTCACAATAGAGGACTTTTTCAATTGGTTATCTTGTTATATTCCCTTTTTCTTTGTCGGACGGTTCCTTTTGACAATACATGTTAGCCAACCCCAAATAATTTTGGGACTAAGGCTTTGTTGTTGTTGTTGTAGAGGACTGGCTAAGTTCAAATTGTTCATAATGGAACTATAGGAAGGCATAATATTACTATACTGGAATGATAACACATTAACACAACCTCTGGAGCGGAAGGTTTGTAGCTTTACAATAGACAGTCTCAACACTTCACTTGACTGATTGCAGATAAAGGACTAAAATTATTTCAGCAAAGGAAGTTGATAGTGTAACAGTCAACCACTTAAAAAGCAGAGTTAAACCTCAAATCGTATTGCTGTTCCGGCAGGTATATTCAATCGCATGCCATAAGCTTTTCTTCGATCAAATATTAAGGAAGGATTCACCTCGATGAAATGATAGTGACTGCCAACCTGAACACAAGTACAAGACTGATTAGGAATATAAGAATTCTATACGCGGTCAACTGATACTGTGGTATGAACTTAAAAGAAAAACATCCTTAAAACACTCTACAACTACAGCTCAGGTACCCAAACATAGGCCAAGAAAGGATTAGGATTCCAAAACTTTCCCTTCGTTACATTGGCTGAGACAGTGTCCTTGGGTCCTAAGACTCCTAACAGCTGATTTAGTCTTGTTATAGGAGTTACTTGTGTTTAATTGCTTTCCAAGGAAGCACTTTATAATAGTTCTTATAGCGAGGGTTTAATGTGTTGGGATTTGTTTTATGTATGTAATTCCAATATTTATGGAGTCTTAGGTTTCAAAAGTTATACTTCATTATCAGATAATTAGTGGGCAGCATTGGTTCATTAATTGGCCGGGTTTATGTTTAGTGTTAGTTAGCGTTTATTAAGTTTCCTTGCAGGGCAGTAAAATAAGTTAGTTGTTTTCTCCTGAACTGTGTAGAAGATACAAGGAAAGCTAGATTATTTTTTACCATAAATTCAAGACACATGCCCACAAATATAGTTGGATGTTTATGAATTGATATGTCTATCTTGAGCATTTGTGCTTGAACCATTGAGAGAGAATTCTTGATAAAAATTCGAACAAAGGTTCAGTGTCGTTGCCATTAAAATCAAACTCAGTTGCCGCATCTTGAAGATATCCTTCACCTTGCCACCAAATTAATCTCTTAAATCAATCTATTCACTTAAATCTAGTTAAGGAGTGCACCTGAACCGGTCTATCTCCGTGGTTAACAACTTTGAGGATTACTGCTCTCCTTCCATTGTTCAGGGAGATGTCTCCAACCCCAGGCCTTAGCTCACCGGGTACAATATCGTCTTCCAACTCCGGGAATTTGTCTAATGATGGAACTGCAAAGCTAAAGTTTTAATCAATGCCTCAGTAAATAAATTTTCATCATGGTGCTACAGAATATGCTGCTGAAAACCAGTAGATAAAGTGACATAAACAACACGAAGAGCAGATTGTAACCTGGAAGAAAGGAACCATCAAGCGCTAACTCTAAGTTCCCGTTTTCACTAGCAATAGGATCATGGACGGTGATCAACTTAGTCCCATCTGGGAAGGTCCCTTCAACCTAAACATGAAAGCAATACATTTATATAGTAATGTGCTGAAAAATAAAATAAAAATAAAATAAAAAGCAGTTACAGACTCTGAGTCCTAAATAATATATTTCGTTTGACTGATTCATTGTGTTCTAAAGTCCAGAAACTAATAAACAAAAGTGATTCCCAAATTATCATGAAAGAAGACCAGCTGTCACGCCTGTCAGAATCCATGAAAGGAACACCCAGAGAGATCAGAATAACAAATCTGAAAACCATGAAACTTTATCTTGGATTAATCAGCAACATGACTCTGGACCATTTTACGGTCAAAATACACAAAGTTTATTAAGAATTGAAGCCATATACCTGGACAGTATGTAAAATGTGAACAACAGCTGGAAGGACCTGTCGCCTGTCATAACAAAAATTTTAGGTTAGCTTCTCATTACAAGTGAGAAGATATTATCTAATGTTGAAGAGTGATGTACTATAACTGGTTATAACTCTTTATGCAACCGATCAGTGGTCGTATATGGTTCCAAACAACGTTTATTTGACTAGGGATGCTTCCTCTACCATCACTTGAGTTTTTAATACCAGTTCTGAAATCTCCAAAAATGGTCCGATTTCGCGAATTATAGTTTTCAAATTTAGACTCTAGAGAACAAATTCAGACTCGGCAAAGCTAGGCATCGAGATACTTCTCGACACATCTTGGGATGCCTCCCTTGCCATCACTTGATTTTTAGACACCAAGTCCCAAAATCTTCGACATGGTCCGATTTCGTGAATAGACTTCAAATTTTTTAAACTCAAAAGAACATTTATGGATCAGACAAGATTAAGCATTAAGGTGCTTCTCACCTGGGATGCTCTCTTGCAGCTCTTGACTACCAATGCAATAAAATTCCGAAACAACCACATATTAGACTTAACTCATTCTTGAAACTTTATAGACCTAATGGAATGCCAATTATTTCACAAACACTTTTTATTTAGGGGAACACCTTACACATTCAGTTCATTTTTGGAAAAAATCTCTCAAAATTGGCCTCTAAGCGTGTATTATAGCTTTCGATTTCGAGTTATTTGGGCCCCAAAAAAAAATTAAAAAAAATCCAGTAGGTTACGTGCAAGTCTCTTTTTATTAACTCAATGCTACCACGGGCCTTTATGCGACCAATCAGTGGTTGTATATGGATCCAAAGAACGTTATTTGACCTAGGGATGCCTCCCCACTTCCCCAGCCATCACTTGAGTTTTTGTCATCGAGTCTCAAAATCTCCGTAAATGGTCCAAATTCGTGAATTATTGTCTTCAAACTTATACTCTGGAGAATATTTTTGGACTCGACAAGGTTAGGCAGCAAGGTGCTTCCCAAAGTGAAGCCCTCTAATTTACTACTTCCTCATCTCAAATTAAAAGATCTATCAATAGGTTTGATTGTTTGACCATACTTTTTCGAAGGTAGTAAAGAAAGCTACAATCATCCATACAATTCGTTACAGTATTGGGTTTTAATCTCAACTGAGCATGTAAAAGCCACATCATAAAAGTGGCATAAAAGATTTTAAGATACTCCATACAATAATTATCAAAGGTAGTAAAGAAACCAACAGTCATTCATACAATCTGGTAATTTTAAGAACGTACTTTTAAAATGGACCTAATCTGAAAAAATTTCTTCACCCAACTTCTTAACAGCATCCCAAACTTCCTCCACAAAGCAGTCTTTCCCAGATCACCAACTACCACTACAGGATGGACGGTCACTCTTTATGACATTGCTCATCATAAAGAGAAATATTTTCCATCCACAAAGTTCCAATAGAGATAATGACAATCAGTTTGTGAGTTTTCCTCACCAGATCAAAATCTACTTCAATCAACACATTTACATAATTTTTTTTTTGGTGCAAACATTCACATAACTAAATAGTTGTGAAACAACACATGGAGGTCTGAATATAAAAACAAAAGGAAACAAAACAAGTGACTTGTATCAATTTTCGGCATGATAATACAATTGTTTACACATCAGAAGGTTGATCCCGGAGAGTAGGAGACACAGGCATAAGGAAAACTGGAAAAGTAACTTCTTTTTTCCGGAAGAGCATTTTCCTAGATATGACCAAAACATAAAAATAAAAACTACTTCGTATAAGTTACCTTCCAAGAAGCTGCTTCCCGATGTCCATAAGTTCTGCCACACTCTTGTTTCCAACACGAACAAAACTTAAAATCTATAGAATAAAACAATTAAAGTATATTAACCTTTTTTCTTTGAGGCTTTAAACCACATACCAATCACATTCAACCAGATGATAAATCTTCGACGCTGTTAATACTTAATAGTGACGCATTGACCCTTCAATTTGAAGGTGATTGCTTGAGAAATTATTTTCAACAGGTGGCAGGGAACTAATAAATAAAGGTGGAAGTCAGATCGTATCTCCTTGACTTAGGTAAAGGATAAGGTATGAGGTATTAGCTGATAGCCCCAAATCCCATCAAAATCAAGGGGTTGTATGGGGTGCAAAGAAATTTACAAATATCTGTGTATACAAGAACTAATACTCAACCATGCTTCCACAAATTTTAAATAAAGTTGACATTAGAAAGTCTACATTAAAAAAAAAAAAAAAAAAAAAAAAAAATTGTTAAGAGATGCTTAAACAATTCAGAAATAAAAATATGAATAGCATGGGTGTATAAAACGGCAGTAAGTGGTAGCCACCTGAGTTGCTATGACAGCCACAGCTTCAGTATAATTGAGCCTAAGACCACTAGCAAGACGCTTTTGCGCAAGGAAACCAGCATTATGAAGAGCTAGTTTCTCAACCTCTCTAGGACACAATTTCATTTGTAAATTTCCTTCAGAAATTTGCACCACTATCAACTGCAATCATTTAAGATGATAGAAATTAGAGTAAGATGGTCCCATACATATAATTATAATAAAAACAAGAAACACGGACATCAATGAAAACAATTCTCATGAATTCCTTCTAAGTCACAAATTGCTCCTTGCTAGGATTTGAGTTTGTTGTTATGTATTATAGGAATAATGCAAGTAATTTGAGCAGCTAAAATGGTGTATTGATTGATCGGAGTAACCAACAATACAACGGGCCTTCTTTCGAGAGGAAGGTGCTCTCCAAAATAGCTACTCAATTTCTGGATGCCTCTTGTTAAGGCCATGCACTCATACTTATACCCCTCAAGCTTCTACCAGCTTCTCTTACATGCATTCCCCCTACCCATAACAGATTATTATTCCCTTAGCAAAAAGACTAACAAACCCCTTACACCACATAACAGAAAGCAAAACAGAATTAGATACTAATTTATTTAATTAAGGAGCACTGCATAGTGACAGCTCATCATCCATCTTCCAGCTAGCCTTTCCTACGTCTTGCATAAGTGACCGTGATTGGAGGCTTGGGCACGTCCCTTGCACTCCTATCCTTCAATTTTTTCCTATACATGTTTTACCGGGTATATAGAACAAAGGCTTTAACCAAGGAGTAACATTTCAACAAATGGGAACAGAATCAAAAGGCCAAGAACTAGAATGAAGTATATAAAAGAAAACCTTCCATTTTACACCATTTTCATTTTTCTTGAGTCAATTAACACTACATATACCTTAATTCAAGGAGGAAGAGGAAACATAATTGGATGGATGTGATTTCGGTCTACAGAAAGCAATGCCTTTACAACGCTTTCCCCCCACCCCAAATATCAAACAATAGGGAATCCGAATTACCTTTTTGCCAACCCTGAGGCCATTTTTTATCAAGCAGAAAAGACTTTCCACCAACTTAAAACAGATTATGAAACTTCGAAACTCAGACGATTTTCAAACAAGGAAAAATTGATTGTAGCCAGTAGCCACCCTCCCTCAACACTGATCTAAAAAGTATATTCTTGAATATACACAAAATAATTTTCTCTCGCTTCCCATTTCCATTTTTTTAAATATTCTACCATTTCCATCCTTCTTTTCCCCTCCATTTTTTGGGGGGATTTTGTCCAATTTGAGTATTCTACCCAGCAATTGAACCACTATTCATTTTCAATTATCTCACAAACCCAGTTATATGATAAAATGAGCCAAACACCAAATTATGCCCAACATAAACAGCAATTAAATGGAACAAAAATTGATATGTATTAATTTAGTTAGTCCCAGAAAAATCATAAGAAAATACAAGTATACGCATCACAGGCTATGAAACTAGTAAAAATCGAAGGAAATTCATGCATGTCAAATCAAAGAAAGTTAGCAACTACAAATTCCAGATATATGATTAAAAATAAAACTTTGGGGGAAAAAAAAAACAAAACATTCATACCCATTACAAAATCAAAATAATCAAAATGCTGCATTTCACTGAATAGAGAACAATGGGGAAAAGAAAGAGAGGCGAACCTTGGAATTAAATTGGGAATTAAAGCTTCAAACTTTGAATTAATTCAATAGAATAGGAAGATTGGGACTTTTGGGAGCATCAGTGAGCAGCAAATTACTTCAATATTGCTTCTCTTGCTCACTTTGACTTCAGAAAATTTGCCTTATTCTTTCAAAAAAGAAAATTTGTGTTATTGAATTGAAGTTTAATTTCATGTTTTATTTCAATAAATGGGTTTAATTAACCGGTGGTTGTAAATTATAATGTGGTCATCAGATCAAATGTGGCAAAATCGCTAAAGGTGACACTCGTCAATTCGACTCAAATTCACAAAAAATTACCGGGTTTTGGTTAAGGTTACTAGTTTAAAATGTTAAATAATGGAGTTCGTTTGGGTTAGGGTTGAACTTTCAATTCCAATTTTTTTTCACTGATATAATATAGATAAATTTCTTTAAGATGTACATCGTAATTTATATTCTAATAAGAAAAATTTGACCTTTATCAAGTGTGTGAAATATTATAAATGAAATTCGTCACTGGAGATTCTGTCAAAGATGGAGAATTTATAAACTCTATGATATTGTGTGTACTCGATGAAAAACTTGGTGTTGCTCTGGCTACTAGTCAAAGGTCATGCTAGTACATATGAGCAACTAACTAATATTTCATGATATTAAGGCCAATTTTGCTTAAAAATAATAGTCATTACTCCGTACTTTTTAGTTTTTTAATACGAGCTTGAACAACTTTTAAATAGACTTTTAAATTAATACAAACGAATATAAACTTTTGTGTGCGGCTGGCCACACCGTGTGGTCAGCTGACACACACCAAGTATCTCCTAACCGACAAGTAACCCCTGACCGACCAAATAACCCCTGACCGACTTAGTAATCCCTGACTGAGTAAGTAACCTTTGACCGACCGAGTAATCCCTGACCGACTTGCTAACCCCTGACCGAGTGAGTAACTCATGTAGCACTAACAAATTAACCCCCATAATGGTTGGCTACACAAATTAACCCCCATAATGGTTAAAGTTTGTGTAAACTAAAAGACAAAAAAAAAAAAAAAAAAAAAAAAAAAAAAAAAAAAAAAACAGCAATGACACATGTCATCTCCTAGTCTATCCTTAAGGTTTTTTTTTTTCTTTTTACGGAGGAACATTAATTAAGTAAATTTTTAATGAGGTAAAAAAAAAAGTTGACTAATAGGTAAATATACTTAATTGTTGAAATTTAATTATTGTCTAAATCTTTACTTTTAGAAAGAATAAAAATAAATAAAATAAATTAAAAATAAAGGGGTTTTTTCTAAGCTATGCCTCTGAGGAGTTGGGTTTTCCAAGCTGTGCCCATACTTTTTGAAAGTTCTAAGTCGTACCCCTGAACTGCTAATCTTTAATCAGCTATACCCCTCCCCTAATTCCTCCGTTAACTTAGGTTAACTTTCTGTTAACTTCAAAATAAATAAATTTAAAAAAAAAAAAAAAACAAAAACAAAACACCCAAACACCTCTCTCTCCTCCCTCACAACTACCCACCGCTGCACCTCCAACTGCACCACCGCGCCTCGCTCCTCTCTCCTCGACCCACCACCGCGGCACCTTCCTCTCTCCTTCTCTCTCAACTCCTCGACCCTAATCTCCCCCTCTCTCTCCTCGTACCCCAACAACTACCACACCTAGCCACTTGATGCGCCACCACCGCCATTCTTCATGCCCAGATTTTCGAACATTTTTCGAAAATTTTTGGGCAAACGTCGAACAATTTCGACCAATTGAACCATATTCATGCAGATTTTCATTGGAAAAATCAATAAAATAAGTTTTGTGTATTTAATCTCAATCTAATTGAACCAAGATTGATGATTTAACAATTAAAATCAAATTGGGGGAAAAAATTAGGGTTTTCTATTTTTTTGAACCAAATTCTTTGATTTCAAAACGAAAACAACAATTAACAACTTAATTTTGCAATTTGAATCCAATGAAACAAAAGCCCTAAACCAATTTGTCGAAATTTCAATTCCTCCATTGTATTCGAACACTCTCTTTGGTGGTGCACTAGGTGGTGGTGGGGCTGCGATGGGTGGTGGTGGGGCTATGGTGGGTGATGGTAGGGGTCGCAGGTGGGGTTCGGCGAGTGGCCTGGGGTGTGTTGGTGGGTGGTGGAGGGGTTGGGAAGTGAGAGGATTTTTGGTTGGGTTTTTTTAAAAAACAAAAAAAAAAATTTAAAGTAAACAGATTTTTTCACAGAAAGTTAACGGAGGGATTAGGGGAGGGGTATAGCTAATTAAAGATTAGCAGTTCAGGGGCATGGCTTAGAACTTTCAAAAAGCATGGGCACAGCTTGAAAAACCCAACTCCTCAGGGGCATAGCTTAGAAAATCCCAAAAAAAATCAATCACAGCACTAGGAAAAATATCATATAGATTATAATACAATTTGTAATAATAATAATAATAATAATAATAAAAGATTATTATAAATTATTTTTGCCAAGCTAATTACCTGAATAATCAATAACTACGCACAAGAAATAAACATTAACCAATAACTACATAATATATTGATTGATGACTAATAATTTTTTTTATTTATATAAGATATTGCCAAAACATAATTTAAAACATACCGATATCCAATTAGAGTTCATAACAAGAGAAAATTTGAATAAAAAAAAAATATATGTTATCCAGAAGATATTGATTAATATTTTAAATAGCTTGATTTGGGATAAAAATATAATAGCGTGCTTTTATTCTTTTAATACTGAGTACAAAGGAAATTGAATTAATTCGTAAGGTAGATATATAGCTTTAAAAATTTATTTAATTAACAAGAAAATAATGGTGATACCACACTGAAATACATATAAATAATCCTATGATCAAATGCATAACTTTTAAACACATATTTAGCTAATTGGATATTCCATGATTATAAATATTTTGGTAGTTTAGTTCACAATATAATTAGACAATTTTCTTACACTAATTAAAATAGTGTAGAATTGATAACAATATTGAAAATTACTGTACGTGACACGAGACCTAACCTAGTAAACAAAATAAATGAGTTGTCCGAGAGCCTAAATGATTTGAGCTAGGCTCATTTAGCTTCTTTTTTTTTTTTGGACACAAAGCAAATAGCAGCTTTTATTAATCAGAGCAAATGTCAACCAATACAAGGTTTGAAACTTCAATAGGAGCTTCTTCTATCCAGACACGCAGCCCATCAAAATTTTTACTAAGATGGGCAAGACAATGAGCCACCCTATTACCACTCCTACCCACATGAGAAAACAAAACAACATTACAAGACAACACTAAGTCCATAATATCACTGATGATTAACCAAAGCTAGTAGCATCTCTCGGATTTATCAGCAAGTGCATGTAGACTCTCATGCTGTCAGTTTCAAGCACAACCTTCCTAAGACCAGCCTCGTGAGCAATTTGTAGAGCATGTTTTGCAGCAAGAGCTTCTGCAATATCAACATTAACTCCACCCCTCACACATAGTGCAGTAACAGCTATTATGTCACCGTCCTTGTCTCTCATGATATCCCAAAATACAATGCGGTTATCCTTGAACATTGTTGCATCCGAGTTGACCTTGTACTATCCCTCATCAGGCTTTACCTACTTGTGCAAAATTGGAGCAGCAACACGCACAACAAATTTAGAGTGCTCATTTGCTATTTCATATTCACCAATTATGCTCATAGCTTTTTGCTAAACAACATTAATATCAGTCATCTTTCCTTAAAAAAGACAAGCGTTTCTTCGCAACCAAATTCCCTAGAGCAGACTCCAAAATACACTCCACCAATCACTGTCAGAATGCTCCTTTTCCAAATCCAGACACCAATCAAAGGAAGAGGCAGTCTTAATTTTCCTAAAGTCGAGCCTAAGTGATAAAGTATACCATAAGAAGGAAACCAAACTGCATAAGGCAAGAGTATGCAGCGTTGTCTCATTCTCTTCACCACACATTGGTCACAACACATCAATTTCCATCCTTTTCTTTCCCAGATTGACTCTTGTGGGAATCGCCTCATTCAAAAGCCCTCCACCCAAAATGTTTAATTCTGGCGGAAGAGAAGCATTCCAAACTTTGCATCATATAGAAGTTTTACCTTGATTCGAGGAAGCAATAGCAAGACTTCTTCGATGCTTAAGTTCTACATAGTAGGCACTTCTAACACTAAAATCCCCATTTTTCGTATAATGCCAAGACCATAAAACTTCCTGAGTAGACCTAGCCACTGGAATAGAAACAATAGCATCCCTTTCCCAGGTGGAAAAAGAAGCCTCAAGCAGGTCAACATTCTAGCATCCCTCAACCAATAAATCACTCACATAAGTAATGTTTGCCACATTACCAGCTGGCCTTAGGGGAGGTCGAAAATTTGGTAAGTTGGGAACCCAAGGATCATTCCAAATATGAGTTGAGAAGCCCTTTCCCACGACTTTAATTGCACCGTTTTGTAGTACATCCCTGGCTGAGCAGATTGACCTCCATGTGAAGCTGGCATTCGACATAACTTTTGCATCCATAAAAGAGGAGTTAGGAAAATACTTGGCCTTGAACACTCTCACCATCAGTGAGTTGGTATTTGATAAAATTCTCCAAGCTTGCTTAGTTAAAGGGCCTTATTAAACACATGTAAATCCCGCATCCCCATTCCCCCTTCTCTTTTCGACTTTTAAACCTTGTGCCAAGCAATCCAAGCTAACTTTCTTTCTTCTGTTTTTTTTTGCCCCCAAAAGAAATTCCTACACAATTTTTCGATCTCAATTAGCTTATTTACTTATGCCTATATGGAGCACTAACGAACGAGTTTTTAATCGAATTTATTTATGATCCTTTCATGGGCGCAATGACTCATTGACATCTCTATTCTCTAGTTGCACACAACCCGTGCAAACTACTCCTAGAGAGTTTGGATTGTCGTCCTTATAATTTACTCCTAGGCAATAAGAACAGCATCCCCTCAGTCCCGCCCAAAAACTCCAGCTAAAGGCGGCGCAATCACCATTTCCGCCATCATTGCAACTCCATTTCAATGGATAAGCTCCCGATTCTTCAATTCGAAGACAAAATCGTTGAAACAGTCAAGAACAACCTCGTCACTGTCTTAATCGGAGAAACTGGTTCCGGCAAAAGTACCCAACTTTCCCAAATCCTCTTCCGACATGGTTTCGCCGATTCCGGCACCATTTGTGTCACACAACCTCGCCGTGTCGCCGCCGTCTCCGTCGCACGCCGTGTCGCCCAAGAAATGGGGGTTCGACTTGGGGAAGAAGTTGGGTACGCAATTCGATTCGAAGATCGAACTTCAACAAAAACCCGAATTAAATACCTAACTGACGGTGTTCTTCTTAGAGAGAGCTTATCTGATTCAGAACTTCGATCATATTCTGTGATAATCTTGGATGAAGCTCATGAAAGGAGTTTGAATATGGATATTTTGATGGGTCTTGTGAAAAGATTGGTGGGTATTCGTGATTCGGCGAATTTTAGGGTTTTGATTACTTCGGCAACTCTTGAAGGGGAGAAAGTTTCTGAATTCTTTAATGGGTGTCCTGTGCTAAATGTGCCTGGGAAGTTGTTTCCGGTGGAGGTGATATACACGGATGAAGTGAGCAAGAGTTTTGTGGAGGCGGCGTTAAAGAAGGCGATCGATATACATGTTCGGGAGCCAGAAGGGGATATATTGATCTTCATGACAGGTCAGGAGGATATAGAGAAGTTGGTGCAGAAGCTGGAGGATCGAGTTAGGAGCTTAGAGGAAGGTTCTGTAATGGATGCTGTGATTTATCCACTTCATGGGTCATTGCCACCCGAGTTACAGGTTCGTGTTTTTAACCCTCCGCCGAGTAATTGTAGGAGATTTATTGTTGCAACTAATATTGCTGAAACTTCTTTGACTGTTGATGGGGTTGTGTATGTTATTGATTCTGGTTATGTTAAGCAAAGACAGTATAATCCTCAAACTGGGATGTATTCATTAGATATTGTACAGATTAGTAGAGTGCAGGCTAACCAACGAGCGGGGCGTGCTGGGAGGACACGCCCCGGGAAATGTTATAGGTTATATTCATCTGTTGTGTATAAAGATGATTTTATGGAGGCCGCGGTGCCTGAGATACAGAGAACCTCACTTGCAGGGAGTGTTCTGTATCTGAAGTCTTTAGACCTCCCTGGCATTGATATTCTTAAGTTTGATTTTCTGGACCCGCCTTCTTATGCGTCTTTAGGTGATGCACTTAGGCAGTTGTATCTCATTGATGCAATAGATGAGAATGGAGCGATAACGAGTGTTGGGAGAACCATGGCTGAGCTTCCGTTGGAGCCTTCTTTGTCTAGGACTCTAATAGCGGCCAATGAGAATGGAAGCCTTTCACAGGCTTTGACAATTGCTGCCATGTTATCGGCAGAAACTTCTTTGCTTCCTAGTTTTGCTAAAGGGTCTGAAAAGAAACGGAAGCACACTCCCTTGAAGCTTCCTGATGGAGGAGGTTTGGGTGATCATATACAACTGCTGCAGATTTTTGAGTTGTGGAATAAAACAGGCTATGATATTGAATGGTGTAAAGAGTATGGATTGCAGATACGAGGGATGTCATTTGTCAAAGATGTTCGTGGGCAGCTGTGTCAGTTAATGCTGAAGATGGCCAAATGTGCTACAGAAGTTCAAGGGAAACACAAGTCCAGAGAGAGAAAAATGAATTACAGAAACTTGAGGAGGGCATTATGTGTTGGTTATGCTAATCAGCTTGCTGAACGAATGATTCGCCATAATGGGTATCGAACACTTGGGTTGAAGTCTCAGCTTGTTCAGGTACATCCATCATCTGTGTTGCAACCCGATGAGGATGGAATGCTTCCGAATTATGTTGTGTACCAGGAGTTGATTACAACATCTAGTCCATTTATGCGGAATGTGTGTACTGTAGAAATGCAATGGATCTCCCCCATCTTAAAGAAGCTTGAGACTCTTGATATCAACAAACTCAGTGGGGGCTTCACTGATCCTGAGGATGGCATTAAAGAGAAAGATCAAGGTGTGTCAAAGAAGGAAGATAAGGATGTTGAGTCTCCTGCAGATCGTGATAGTAAAATCCAAGCAGCTCGAGAGCGTTTCCTTGCTCGTAAAGTGAAGAAGTAGCTTTAGGTTTAGAGCTATCTATATTGCCACAGATATTAGTCATTTACTAGGTGAAATTAATTGTAGTTGTGTTATAGGCCGTGTTTTTGCTGATCTGATGAACTCATCTTCACCATAACCATGTAATTGTATCATTTTGAGATTTATACAGAGTAGTAGTTTCTTGTTATTGACAGTTGATTACTTGATTATGGGTAGCTCATGTTTGGGGAGAAACCTTAGATGTATCTTTCGAATCAGTGGTGGTTTTCATTGGAATATTTGTGAACTTACCATTGTTTATTGTGTACAGGGTATTGCATATTAGTTAGCTCATTTGGGTGTTTGGCTGGGGAAGGGAGTGGATTATTCAATTAAATCGAGGACAGGACTACGTAAATGTGCCAAGTAAGGCCATCTAGTTTGCTTTGACCACTGTCTTCCAATCTTTTAAGCAATCGTGTCTCTTATTTTCATCGGCAGCTCCCATTTTTGAGGTCTTCCATCGAAGAAGAGATGTACAGCTCTCCACCAATGTAATTTATGCATGGTAATTCTTCATCCCTTTTGCCTTTCTTTGGTCACAAGAGCAGGAATTTATGTATCAGTATTCAGTATTATGGTGGTTTTGCCTTACAAGAACATTGCATATTTGTTGGTGTCAACAATCTATGCCTTATAGGGGCTTGCAGTATGGATTCTTAGGCATAACGACCTAAAACTGTCACCACGCCAGATCAAATTGTTTCGCAGATCAATTTTGTTTGATTGTGTTATATATTCATAGAGGAAGAATTAACATCAGTATCTCAATTACAGTTCTAATGTTTACGATCACACTGTCAGAAGGTAAAAAACCTTTCTAGTCTTTGCATTTATTTCCAACAAAGAAAAAAAATGATAATAGAATCTTTACAAACTCTATTAAGCAAGCTGAAAAATTAGAAAGGCACAACTTATTATTATTATTATTATTTTTAAATAATAAAATCTGATATCACAAGCCCCCATAGTAGTTTCAACCATCAAGAATGCCGTAAGCGGATCAAAGCCATTACTACTCTTCCTTTTTGTAGTTTTCTTTGCTGGTGGCTTTATGTAAGGAGTCACTTTGTTCCTCACATTGATCCACCCAGCCGCATGTTCGACAGGGTTCTCAGCCTTGGCCTGACGCTTAACCTGTAGCCTGTGCAAGGAAGCAGGTGCATTAACAGCAGGGATGTTCTTAACCTTCAAGGTGCATGAACCGATGAGCCTATTTTTTAACAGCAACAGAATATACTGCTATGTTTATTTCAGAATCAGGTTTTGACAGGAATTTACTGTCCACACTTACTTTGAGCTTGGTGTTCCACTTTGGGTTCGAGCCACCATGCTTGTCAATCCTTGTATATACTACCTTTTTCTGGTTAACCCATAAGGCTGCATAGGTACGCATTCGACAACCAAGGCTCAACCTCCTACTCCAAGGTGGGGGTTCTAGGGCTTCACCCGAGTTCAAAGTCACCTTTATAACAAACCTATTATTTGTCTTTGCTGCTGATCCTGCCATGGTCATGTAGTTGAGTGTAACAACTAATTGGTTAGAAGAATTATTGGGGTTTAAGTAAATGAGTCTTATGGAAAGGCTTAGAATTATGATTAATTAGCAAATCCAAGAATCCTAACAAACTTAATCCTAAATAAATACAATGGTGCTTTATTATTAGGTAAAATAACATGACTAATAAAATATTAGAATTATTTATCTGAAAAGATATTTTAAAGAATCCTTAGTATATACTTCGTATGTTGTAACATTGACAGCTGTGAATAAGATAGTCATTTTATCACTAAATTTACAGAACTATCTTCTGAAAGGCTCATATAAACGACACAACTAATTTTTAAAATACTCCATAATCGAAGTACAGTAGCTATATTGCCCTAACCTTCAAAAAATCTTGGGCGGGCCAAAAGTCTCACGTGCCAAAACCACTAAGGAATTGATCATCTATTTGATTTTGATCAAATTGTGCAAAGTAAGCGATTATGCAATTGCAATAGTTTGTTTGGAAAATTAAATTAGGTATTTAGGTATTATTTCGTATTATTTGTAGCCAGTTGTATGTAATTTATGTTAATTGAAAATTAAACAGGGTTACAGTAGTTGGAGACCTGCAAAGCCAGTTTTAAGTAATATAGTTACCTTTAGTGATAGTATAGTGCTTTTTTTAAAAAAAAAAACAAGTAATAAAGCAGGCCGATGAGTATTCTGATGCATAGAGACCTAAAGCCTCCTTCTCTAAGCTTGTTGCTGTGTGAAATATAATTGGTAGCTTGCTCTACTACACCAAAGGCTACTTTTTGTTGTTAAAGCTTTCTTGTTCACCTTCCCTTGTATCAAGGTTTCCTGTGATCAACAGATAAGAAATCAAGAAAATGAAACGCTTAAATCTTTTTAAATACTGATTATTACGATATAGTGTCTTTTATGATTGACGTAGTAACTTTAATTTTTGGAATAGTAACTTTTTTTATAACATAGTGATCTTTATTTCTAAATAGTAATCTTTATTTAATAGCTCTGTATTGTCAGTTTTTCTCCATTAATTAATATATAGTCCTTAATTTTGACATAGTAAACTTTATATTTGAAAAAGTAACCTTATATATAGTGGTCTTAGTGTAACACTATATAGTGACCCTTTCGTCTCATAAAGTCATCCTTCTTAAAATATAGTAACTTTTTTATTTGTTATACTTACCGTTTTAAAAAGCATAGTCACCCTTAGCTACATCAAAATTACCCTTTTTAATACATAGTGACCTTTTTTTGTCATATAAATACCTTTTTAGCATGTAATTAAATACTCATGATGACATTATGCTCTTAGACTACTTTCAAAGTTTCAATCTTCATCTATTCCCTTTGTTCAGAGCATATATTGACTCAGCGTGGAGATAACAATTGATAGAATGGATTGTCAATGCTTAAATGTTCGGTGCTACCCTTTTTATTATAACTGATGTGTTGTTATGCCTATTAGCTCAAATGATCGAGCACTATGTACTTTCACAGTAGATGAAGGTTCCTACATAGGCTATTGATTGTATTATGTAAAAAGGCAGCTTTATTAATAAAATTTGACTATCTTATCATCATATGTTATCTTCATCATACTACAATATAGGATAACAATGCAAGCTAAATAGTTATTTATGCACTTTGATGCTAACAAGCTACTACATACAATGACCAAAACACAACTCATCAATGATAGCAACACACAATTTGGCGGACGATTTAATGGAGTAAGATGATGGTGTCGATGGACATGATGAAAATGGTGGTGTCGATGGTAGCTTAAATGGTGGAAGTAGCTTGGACACATTGTTAGCGTTGATAAACGGAGTTAGGATCTAGGCCATGTGCCTGTGATGATTAAGCAGTTGACAAAGCACAAGGATGAGCTGGCTGTTATGAGTAAGCACTAGATTGATATAATATGTTGATCATGAAGGTCGGGGCGAGCCCCTAGTTTATATCAACTAGCTCTATTCTCAAACACTTAATTCTGCCATCTTCAATTGGCTAGCTATACGAAGAACTATATTAATACGAGTAATAGTTATACTAAACTCTACTTCAAATGGTTAACTACTGAAGACCAATATTGTCCCTGCTGGGTACAACCCGATCATCATCTTTTACAAGGCACGATATTAAACATCTAGCAATACACATGTGAATAGGGTATTTTCTTATTAACTAACTCCCAAATTCCTGGTTGAATATAGCTCGGAGTGTTGTCTTCCCGAAAATGGCTTCTCTTGTCACTAGTTTTATCCCTCTCACCCACAACTTGGCCACCTCCACTCCATCGCAGGCAAAGTGCACTTCTTGGTTCTTGGTGGTCACTACGTGGAACAACCCTGACTGCTTGTCGCTGCATGTCTTTGGTCTGTTTCCAAGGAATGTTATGCTGGGACCAACTTCAGCTGCCCGACAAATCACATTCCTCTTCCCTGACTTGCCCCAGTACAGCACTCCAGTTGATCGAATCATCTTCAATTTCTTCCAGTGTGGTGATCCTTTGCCTTCCTTGGTGTGCTTCTTCACCCATGTACCACATAGAACTAAAACCCTTGCTAGTTCGTCAAGTATCACATGCTCCGCTTCATTCCCAATGCCGTTCTTCCTTGTCAGTGAAAGTGCAGTCTCATGTTTATCATTTTCAGTCTCACATTTTGCACCTCGAGAGATCAGAAATTGACATGTGCTTCCATAGCCTTCCTTGGCTGCTAACATCAATGGGGTGTACCCATCACCATCAAAAGCATTGACATCGTATCCCATGCTTGTTAGCCTTCGAACTGAAGCCAAGTCCCCTTGTCGTGCTGCACAATGCAAGGCAAAAGAACTAGTAGGCCCATGACTTTCATTTTTGAGGGCATAATCCAGCATAATCTGCTCAAAAGCTTCTCGGTTACAGCTTGCTTCAGATAAAGTTAAAGCTGTTTCTCCACGCTTGTTGCTTACTGATATATCAGCTCCAGCATAGACAAGCAAGCGGAAAGTCTCCACTTGACCACTTGCTGCAGCCAACATAGCTGCTGTAAACCCATTCTCATCCTGCTCGTCAAGAGCCACATCTGGTTGTTTTGTAAGGATTTTCAATGCTTGAATCTCATTGGATTGAACCACAAATATGATTGAAGAAAAGACTGCAGAGTTGCTGGATTTGACTACTTTCCCAGATCTAATCACATCAAGGATTACTTGCTGGAAACCTAATGTCCACCTCGTGGACCCTGCTATGGAGCTTGCAAACTCACCAGCTGCATCTACCAGCCCAAAATCAGCACCTGCTGAAGCTAGTGCTTTAAGACACTCCTTGTGCTTGTATTTAGTACATATCATAACTGCAGTCTCTCCTCCACTGGTCTTGGAGTTGATATTGCAGCCTGCAGTTATGAGACGCCAAAGAATTTCCACTTCCCCAAGGCGTGCACCCAAATGTATAGGACGGATTTCAGTTTTTTCACTTGATTTTAGAGGAAATTCCACATCTGCGCCACAACTCAACAACACATCAAGCGCTCGTGCATTGCTGCATAGAATGGCATGGTAGATAAGGTTTCTTCCGAGGTGAGGTGTGTTAGGGGAGAGATGCTGAAGGAGCAAGCGCAAGATACTACCAGTTTCTTCAAAGTACTCAACAGCACACCAAGCAATGTCATAAGGTTCAGCTAGTCCAGCACCCACTCTGCACTCCTCTCCTGTTAATGGGTCCCACGACCATGCACCTAACCTGACTTTAGTATCTGTCCGGACACCCTCCTGTGGCAAATAATTGTTGTCAATTGTATAATGAGAAATATTATTGGAAAAAAGTAAAATACACCTACATTAATCCAAAGTATAGTTAGTACTTCCCTGGTAACTCACCCTTAGCAGTAATTCGACAACAGAACTCTGTCTGCTAACTATGGCTGCAACAATTGCATTGCAGTCAACATTCAGGTGTAGGTATGGTTTTGATGATAGGAGCAGCATGCGGTCAATAGCATTAGTGTCCACTCCACACTGCATTAATATAAATATAGAAATCACAAAAGCAGACATGAGTTGTGAAGTAGTCATTTAGCATATAATATTTTTTAGGAATTAATGATTAAGACAACAAAGAGTAGGGCCTTGAAAATTGAAATTGCTTCTGCTGAACCCAAAATCTGAGGAAGTTAGTACCGGTTTTGTTTGGGAGTGCCTCTGTGACCTAAACACTAATACGTCAATAAGATTAAAGTCCACATGCAATTAGGAAATTCCTCTAAAAGAAGGCAGGAATACCTTAATTAACACCTGAATAACATCAAGAAAGCCTCTGCTGCAAGCAGTGACAAGGGCATGGACAGCAACTTGTGAACTGATATTATTAGAACCCATGAGTAGCTCTGCATGCCTTGGCCGTCCCACATAGCTTGCCTCCAATAACGCATCCTCACATGCTGGCTGACATACCCTTGCTTTCAGTAGAACTTCAAGTATTTCGATATGACCACTTCTTACTGCTGCCGTTGTTGCATAGCCTCGGAAGAGCTTCTTGTTTACATCAGCTTTAAAACTCTGTCATATTTCCACAACTCACAGCATCATTTACAAGAATTTGTCTATAAAAATCTATGTGGAACTATCAAGAGATATACGGAGTATTTCCTACAAAATAAGAAAAATAACAATTCTAAATCAACTATAGAATTACTTTATAGTAGCTGTTTCTTGTGGGTAAGATTATGGTTACCCACCGGCTAAATGAAGCAATCTCCTTTAAGCACCGTACCACAAATTAACATAAAGTAATACCGAAAATCAGAAATTTTATGTTCAGGTAGTAATTTCAAAATGGATAACATTTCAACCACATGGCATAGTGCCATACTTATTCCATTAAACTCAATATCAGTGAAAAACTATTAAAATATGCATATCAAACAAGAACATGGCATCACTACATCAAGCATTCTTTTTTTAATCCACTCCCACACACATTCTCTTTCATGCAAGTAACAAAGCATATGTTTAATAAACTAGATAAGTTTAGCACTTGCAGTTCAGCCAAAATCCAACTCTTATTTTAAGAAATCGAACGAGATCTAGATCCAAATCTTCCATGATCCAGCACAAATAGTTTTTCCCTAGTCTGATTTCCGACTATTTGGCAATTGGCACGACATAAGGTTTCAACTAACTGCCTCAGAAATATTCACAACTCAACTAAATTTACCAAATTACAACAACAGCAACAACCAATGGACCACATAGTCACAGTAAATTCTAAGACAAAAGGTTGTTTCAACATGATACACATAGTATACTAAAATGCAAAATTGTGCATGAACTATGTTTCAACTACCGAGTACCACTGATTTGTCTACATGTACTATATAGTATACAACTACCGAGTATCCGAGTATCAATGATTTGTCTACATGATAACTACCAAGTAGGCGAGTACCAATGATTTGTCTACATGATAACTACCAAGTAGGCGAGTATCAATGATTTGTCTACATGTATTATATAAGATTTGTAGCTCAAGGTAAAACAAGAGCTTAGATTATTCCTAAACATTGTCTAGCTTAGGCTTAAAGAACCTCCTCCAATCAAGTTAAACAAAAGACAAAAATCTTCTGTTTTAGTTTGTTAACAGAGTAGTGAAATCGGAAACTTTATTTCTACTGAAATTGGTCGTTGTTTTTGAGTTACTTATTACAAGTCAAAGTGGCCGTTTGAAGGAGGAAAATATAAAAATAAAAAAAATTAATCCAGTATCATACTACCTCCGTTACATATTAGTTACAACTTTGGGGTATTATTTGAGAAACATAAAATATTCCAAAGTTGCAAATAATATATAACGGAGGTAGTACTATCATCCACAAATTACAAATTAAAATTATGATTTAGGTTTTATAAATTTAGACAAAAATTATCAAACTTTTTACAGTATTATCCAAAAATAAAAAAATACATAAATTTTTTTATGATTTTAGGTTTTATAAATTTAGCCAAAAATCCGAAGTTTTTCCTAACCAATAAATAAGAAAACTACCAAATCAGAAATTTTCGAATTTTTTTCCCAGAACTTTATATAATATTATAAATTCAAAAATCAATTTCTACAAACTATGAAGGTCCAATTAAAGCCGCGAAAATCAAAACAGCACAAAAATCTGCAAAAAAATAAAACTATCAAAACCATTTTACAGTACAAACAGAACTTCAATTGAAGCCATAAAAATCAAAATTCCTCTAGAATTGGAAATGACAACAGCATTAAAGTTTTAGTAAACAGTTCGAACGTTTTCTAATTCTATTCGAGTTACCCCACACGGTCGGTAACTCACAGCCTAACTAGACTCCAACTAATTATACCTCGGTAATTCAGATCTCAACTAGACTCCAACTAATATTTTTGTACGAGTTACCCCACCCGGTCCGTAATTTAGAGCCTAACTAGACTCCAACTAATTCAGATTCACCCCAAATTATAACACCTCCGTAATTTAGAGCCTAACTAGACTCCAACTAATCCGAATTCGATCCATAAGTTCTCTTACAACTTCTACCTCAAAACTTTTTCCACCTTTACTCACAAATCCACATATTATCCACTTTAATCCAGCCAAAAAAGCAGGAAAAAAAAGTAATAAAAATAAAATGAATACCAGTAATTTATTGACGAGAATGAGATTCCCAGAGTGAGCAGCAAGAAACAAAGCAGTAACATCTGTCCGAAACTCTTCAAACTCAGAGACAACTCGGTGAGTCAACTCACCATTAGGAACGAGTTCAGTCTTCAGAGACCTCAACGTAACAGTACCAACAAAATCAACGTCGACGAAAGGATCAGAGAGAAGATCAAAAGCGAGCTTCGAATCTCCGGCGAGAATGGCGTCGATAAGGCGCTGTGAAGCCGCCGCAGATTCGCCGGAAGTCATCGGAAAAATCTGTTTTCCGCCGTGAAATTTGCCGGAGGAGTTGTTGTAGACTCGGAGTCCGTGCATAGTTTTTTCGCGGGGTTGGGGGAAATTACGTGTTTGCCCCTTGTTTGTTGTGTGATCAGCTGGGTTTTGAGTTTCTCTCTCCTCTAATTTCTCAGTTTCTCTCTCCTAAGTGTCTGAGAGACAATGGAGTGTGCGCAGAGTTCGATGGTTGGAAACTTGGAATGTGGGGGTTTGTAGTTTCAGTGACCATTTTTAGCCGTTACACTCATCAGTCGTTGATACTGTACTATTGATCAATTTTTTTAAAAAATATATTAGTGGGGCCCATTATTACATATAGATATCGGATATGTATATAATTCCGTCTGTTTCTTAATAATCACGACACTTTGACAGATAACACACATGTCAATACATAACTTTGATCATTAATATATAGAAAAATTTGTGAAAAGGTTTTTTTAAGTGGTTGACTTTGTAAAAAAAAGTCCTTATATATATTTTTTTTAAAAAAAGGTGATAAAAAAGGTTCTTATATTCCATTTAAGTTATAAGCATGTCCAACATAAAAGAGCGAATATAAATTGTTTAAAAACTCTTAGAAATGGATGTAGTATAGATGTATAATTCATATGATTTATTTATTTTATTTTATTTTAATGGAAGGATGGGTGGTCAATCAATCATATATTTAAAGTATGGATATCTAAGATACTTTAATTGGGGTTATCTTTTTGCTTGTATATTAAGATATTGTTAGAGTTCATCCTTGCAATAATTGTTTATTGGTAAAAATGGTAATTATGTTGGTATTTTGGGTTTGTGAGTTGTGCATTTGTGCTATATTAGGATGGAAGCAAATATTATGGCTCGAATTAATTGGTTAGATTTGGTTGGATTGAAAGAGTATTCTTTTAGTTATGATATTAAATTTTGACATACCTTTTTTTTTTTTTTTTTTTTTTAATATATATACTTTGCTAAATATCAAAAAATTAAAAATACTATATTGGTAAATGATTGATATAAAATTTTATGATCCAATATGTCGATTCAAATAAGGTAGCGTACAAGATGTTGAAAGGATATGACTTAGACATGGCCTCTTTCAATAATTGAAAGGTATTAAGTTTGATTTTGATTTATAATCATACTTTTTTTTCAAATAAAAAAGGAAGCTAAGCATTTTTTTTAAAAAAAAATTCTCTAATATCTTTCAAATCGGACCTATTTACTGATTTGATATTCGTAGAAAGGTTAGAATCAATAATTCAAATTCAAAATTTGTGATAAAAGTTTAATTATAATAAGATCAATCAATAGTAATGTTAGAAAAGACATAATCAACATGAAATCCCTACACAAATCCCAATTAAATGATGAAATTAGTAGAGGATAAGAACACTATACCCCATTCCTAGCTTCTTCATCCGTTTCCTGTTTGTGAAAGATGACCACAAAGCCACTAACTCAAAGTTAGCCATTATCATGCTCATGAGTTGTGGGGTTAAGAAAGACATGACAATTAACATTTTATTTTATTTTTTATTTATTTATATTTTTTCCGTTTTTTGTTATTTACAACCAATAGTTGTGATAAGGATATGAATTTTTAGAATAAAGAGTAGCAAATAGGGTTCTACATAAATGACATGGTCATCCAATCCTCTTTTTTTTTTTTTTTTTTTTTTTTTTTTTTTTTTTTTTTTGTGTGGTTATTTTTAATATTTTCTTGAAATTATGTATCATTTTATGTACCAATTAAACTCATTGATAAAATAGTTTTGTTTATGATTGGGCTATTACATACACATCATTTCCATTCTAAAAATCTAAATCGTCACTTAAAACATAGATTAGGGTTTAATGCTCTAGTTATAAAGAGTGGTATACGACATATAAGATAAGCCATTTTTGCTATAACATACTTGATCCATGACCACCTCTAACCAACAAAGTGTTGGCTCACTTGGTTAGGTTCTTATTTCAGATTCTAGAGGTTTGGGGTTCGAATCCTACCAAGTATAGGTACTTGGGGTAGGGATTCCCTAACCTTCTCTCTGCTTCCAACTGTCTGATCCGTAAATAATGGACCAAAAAAACTTGACGGTTGAGGTCTAGTCAGGTTTCTCTATACCATTTAAAACAAAAAAATGATATCTCTACATTAGAAGTTTATTATATAGGTTTACACATGTACAAATGTATCGCCCACAAGGCTAAACCCATTTGCTACTTTGTTAACATTAAAAAAAAATGATATACATAGCCCATAGGTTAAGGGTTACATATAAAGAGTTAAAAATGAAAATATAAAATAATATAAAACACTACCTCGATTTATATTTAGTTGACACCTTTCTCTTATCACGCTTGCCAACACACTATTATACCCATTAATATCTCTAATTCTCGACAAAATTATAAAAAGTGGATATTGATAAAATATAATCGAGACGATTCAAACAAGATCTCACTTGATTATGTTTTATCGTAACTATAAATCACAAAAACTAGTCAAGGTGTAGTTTGTATATAGCATAAAAGTCAAATGGTGTCAACTAAAAAAAGGGGAGGAAGTATAACATTAATTACATTGATTTGCTCGTCATTTTGTCAAGCATTCCTAAATTAATACCAAATTAGGAAAAATATTTCATGCATAATTATAGTCCTTAGGCTATATATATCATTACCCTAAAAAAGTACTCCTCCGTTTTATAATATTAGTCCCATTTACGCATATCGATGTAAATCTTTGATCGCAAATATCTTTAATCTCACACTAGCAAAAATAATAAAAATTAGATTTTAATAATGTACTCATTGAGACGAATAAGACTAGATCTTATATAGAGAGACAAATTTAGAAGATCCCCTCTAATTTTTAATAGTCAAAAAATTCTAAATGGGACACAAACGGAGGGAGATGAACGCACTAATACCCGAGTGTATAATAAAAATTACCGGTAGCAAACATATACCCAAAGGCCAGAAGTAGAAATTTCTGTGGACACAATATCCAGCCCATCAACAAAAAGGACCAAATAAAAGTTCCAAATCAACCAACCCATTACCAAATAATAAAAATTTAGGTGAGTCTTTAAGCCCACAAGATACAAAGCAACGTGGACCATTCGATCATCACATCATAATACACCGCCATTAATCACAGCCGTCAAAATTACTCGTAAACAAAAACGACTCTCCCAATTCCACGTTTCATAAATCATACCCTCTCACACCAGATCATTTTTCTTCTCTCTCTTAAAACTCTTATTAGAAGAACGCACAGTCAAATCTGCTGAATCGCAAATTCACCCACAATTTAAGCTTTCATCTTGCTGCAAATTATGGTACGCTAATTTGTCATTTGAAAATTTCTTAAAATTTGTTTCTTTTTAATTTCTTGCGCATTTTTTCTTGTATTTTTTTAATGGTTTTCCCCCACCCCCCATCAATTTCCAGTTTTTTTGTTCGTTTGGTTTTGTATTGATTAATGGTGTGATTTGGGGTTTCTGATGTTAATTTTTGTTGCATTTAGATCTTATGTAAGATTAATTTTAGTGGGTTTTTTATGAATATGCTCTGAAATGCGTTGTTTTTGCTTATTTTTATGTTGGTTTTATTCGATTTAGGTATTTTTTGGGGTTTTGTAGATGATGGGCAATAGCCGCGTTTTCTAGGGATTATCTGTGTGATTAGTTTATTTGAGCTTGTTTGATCATAATTTAAATATTGGGTTTTGGATGCCATGAACTATTGCTGCATTTTTCGCAATTATATGGGTTACCAAATATCAATGAATTTGAGCTGGTTTAATCAATATTGTTAAGTTAACCTTTCAGTGTTTGAAAAATGGTTAATTGCTCGAGGTGAAAAGATGTTGCACATTCCTAATTAGGAAGAAAGATGACATTATTTTGGTATTCTGTTATTCGTCTATCTGGGAACCTTCAACCTTGTCATTGTTTCCCGTGTTACTTTGGTATCAGATCATTGAAATATAGTTCATTTAAGCACGAGAAGGTCGAAAATATCTTTTGTAGTATTTGGATTAAAATGAATGAATCATGAATTTTCAGGAATCATGATAGTTGTCTACAAAATTGTGGTGCCTTGTTGTTTGATTCAAGGAAACTTCTAGGGTCATTTACTACCTCTATTTTATATTATGTGTAACAAATGAGCTTGCACGGACTCATAGACAAAATTTGTTTGTAAGTGTTGAATGGAGAGAGAAAGATAATGATGCATTTGTTGCACATAATGTGTAGCAACCATTTTTGGTAAATGTTGCACATAATATGAAATGGAGGTAGTATATTGTTTATAAAGGTAAGAAAAATAATCATTAGGAAGCCCTCCTCACGAGGGGAATTCCGAATGTAAGGGTCATTTATAATGTGGTAGGTGATTAAGGTATGTCTTTGAGCTACTTTACAGATCTTGCAAATGGATTGTTATTGAATTTATCTTTGGACAATGATGTTAACAAGTAGTACTATGGAAATGCATAATACAAGAATGTTACTTTGTTAGCCTTAAGGTTTTGCATTCACACTATAGTTTTTAGAAGGTGATCCTTCTGTAGAGTTTGTAGCACACATCTAAAATATACTAAGATGCAAGAAACGAGCTTAGTAGAGTGGATTGTTGGTTGAAGATTCTCATATCCACCTTACACATTGATGAAAGGATTGTTTATTTAATCAAGCGAATGAGCCTATAGTGATTTCATTGATGGAAATGAATAGGAGTGTTGTGTAGTTTGGCTTGAAAGAATAATATCTAGGTCATGGAGATGACAATCTGTTTCTTTTTCTAGCTATAAGAAGTTGAAGCTTTATAAAAATGTTTGTTCTGGGTTTATGAAATTGGATCAAGGTGCTTCATGATCATTACGGTATTTTTGTAATTAAAGTAGCTTGAGGTTCATTCTTAATGCCATGATTTCTAAATGATATGCAGCTTCCATGACCCTTTCATCTGACCTTAAACATACTATTTCACAGGCACCCCTGAGGGGCATTCTTAATCTTCAAAGAATAGGACAAATTCAGCGCCACTGTGACAGCTGGGGAGTTGGCTATAGCAGATTGTTCAACACCCAGGCTGCTTCAACATCCAGTACCCCTCAGCCTCCTCCCCCTCCTCCTCCTCCAGAGAAAACTCATTTTGGTGGCCTGAAAGATGAGGATCGTATATTCACTAATTTATATGGGCTGCATGACCCCTTTCTTAAAGGTGCTATGAAACGTGGTGACTGGCATAGAACAAAGGACTTAGTTGTGAAGGGTTCTGACTGGATAGTCAATGAAATGAAAAAGTCTGGTCTCCGTGGACGTGGTGGCGCTGGATTTCCATCAGGTCTCAAGTGGTCGTTCATGCCAAAAGCGTCTGATGGTCGTCCCTCGTATCTTGTTGTTAATGCAGATGAAAGTGAACCTGGAACCTGCAAGGACAGAGAAATCATGAGGCATGATCCTCACAAATTACTTGAGGGTTGCCTAATTGCGGGGGTAGGAATGAGGGCCAGTGCTGCTTACATATATATAAGAGGTGAGTATGTTAACGAACGTTTGAATCTGCAGAAGGCGAGGAAAGAAGCCTATGAATCTGGCCTTTTGGGCAAGAATGCATGTGGATCTGGCTATGACTTTGATGTTTATATTCATTATGGTGCTGGTGCCTATATTTGTGGGGAAGAGACTGCACTTTTGGAGAGTCTTGAAGGGAAGCAAGGAAAACCGAGATTGAAGCCTCCTTTCCCTGCTAATGCTGGACTCTATGGATGTCCTACAACAGTCACAAATGTGGAGACAGTTGCTGTATCCCCCACCATTCTAAGGCGCGGCCCTGAATGGTTTGCTAGTTTTGGCAGGAAGAACAATTCAGGGACTAAGCTATTCTGCATTTCGGGTCATGTCAACAAGCCTTGCACAGTTGAAGAGGAAATGAGCATCCCCTTGAAAGAATTGATTGAGAGGCACTGTGGTGGAGTGAGAGGTGGATGGGACAATTTACTTGCAGTGATTCCTGGGGGTTCTTCGGTCCCCTTGCTTCCCAAACACTTGTGTGATGATGTGCTGATGGATTTTGACGCTCTTAAGGCTGTTCAATCTGGTCTGGGTACTGCTGCTGTAATTGTGATGGATAAATCTACAGATGTTGTTGACGCAATAGCAAGACTATCTTATTTCTACAAGCACGAGAGTTGTGGTCAATGTACTCCATGTAGAGAAGGAACAGGGTGGTTATGGATGATTATGGAGAGGTTGAAAGTTGGAAATGCAAAGTTGGAGGAGATCGATATGCTTCAAGAGTTAACTAAGCAGATCGAGGGCCATACTATTTGTGCTTTAGGTGATGCTGCTGCATGGCCTGTGCAGGGTCTTATTAGGCATTTCCGGCCAGAGCTAGAGAGAAGGATCAAAGATCATGCAGCCAGGGAGTTGCTCGAGGCTGAAAAAAGAGGTCTGCTTGAGGCTGCTGCTTAGATTATCTTATGCAGGTTTGAGCCTTCTCTTTGCTGGTTATTTTTTCATACATACAGATAATGACGAAATTCATTATTCTGAGAGGGCTATTTTCTATAGTTTCTATACAGTATTAAACCATATCTATTAAAATGTGGGCAGTGGGCTCTGTTTCAATCTTCTCTATATGCAAGGATTTCCGTTAAAGTTTTTTTCCTTTTCATGTCCAATGTTATTCCCCTACCTAATTTGGTATTTCAATGCATCTTTTTGTACGGGTATAAAGCATAAGCCTTTCTTAAAGAAGGGACATATGCCTTGAGCTTCCCTTCTAGTCTGTACTTTGTACTTCTATATGGTTTAGGTTGAGAGGAGAGAGTCCATGTTACCCCTTTAAAACATGGAAAATAATTTCCCACATAACAATACGAAAGTGGGGTTTTGGGGGGGGGGGGTGGGGGGTGGAATCTCTCCTATATGATACCAAATGTCACATAATTTCTGTCCAGCTAAGCAGAGCTGGTTTCTGAAGTTGTTTGCTTGAAATGCTTCAGCTGTGGTTTTCATATTGGTTGACATTGTTCTGTCACATTTGATACAGGAGACCTTCAATTCTTGGATAATTGTTGAAATAAGAGATTGTAAGGGATTGCCCTCTAAGTATAATCCAGGAGGTAGCTCAAGTACATGTATGTCCCAGTAATTTGTTTCGTTTTGAAGATGTATCAACAACATGGCTGTATTCGTTTTATCGCAATAACTCTATACTTTTTGAATGTGTCTGGACGGACACAAATTTTATATTGTTCATGTTGTTTTCTGGTGTAAGGCAATGCAAAACATTTCTTTAGACCATGCTTTTAGAATCCTTGTTTTTCATAGCGTATCAGATCAATCTTAATTTTTTGCAGCTGGTCTCAAGTTTTGTGGAAAACCTTGGAGGGGAAATTAGGATACTTAAATTTGTAGCTTTTTATCGGATGTTTGAAGTCCTTAAACTGTAATATGATCCGATACAGAATTCCCCCGGCCACTCGTCTTGATATTGTGATCCAATGGATTCTAGTGATTGCATTTGCACTGGCTCATCAAAGGGTGTAACCTGGATGGACGCACAGCTCTGTACCTGTTCCCGAATATAGTGAATTTTAACACGGATTCCCCGGATGCAAGAAAATTCACTGCAGGATATTAGAAATATACAGGAAGATATCCTGTAAATACTTTTTCTCATCAATCCTGACTCCCTAATACACTCAAGTAAAAATTCTTCCAAAGTAACCATAACAGCCGCGATTGCCCCTTCCTGCCCTGCCTTGCCATTCAAATTCTTGCACACAGATAGTGCCAGATTTCCTCTACTATGACTGCCAATATAGTCCATCTTACTCGGATTTTCTTACAGTTTTCTGTTGAAAAATACCTTTCTTACAGTTTTTATTTTTTATTTTTACCATCTTTCTCAAACCTTCTACGGCTTCAGCTTCTGACCACATAAACTAAAAACAGACGATAAAGATCATAAATACTGACTCAATGTTTTATGGAATTATCAAAGAAGACTCATTTTATGGCTGGCCCTCAGCTTCTGAATTCTGATGAAAAATTGATAAACACAGACAGAAATCCAAGTAATTGAGTGAAGTCATTGTCTCTTCAGTCTTATTTATTGTCCATACCCAAACAATGGAGATGACCTAACTTTGGCAGGATTTCAAATACAAAAGGTGCCACACCTCAGTTTCTATTTAATTCTCTATGTTATATCATTGTACATTTCTCCATTTGTATAAATTAATCTGGAGGCCTACTTAATCCATCGTGCGTATATTTTTAAATGATTTATGGGGAACTGGATTTCTAAAATGTTACTTTCGGTGTCCTGATATAGTTACTTCACATACTTTGACTTTTGACCTTATTTAAACCATTTTTTGTGTTGTTTTGTATATGGATAGATGTTACTAAATGTGTAATATGAAAAAATATATTTTTTTAACTATCTCCGTTTCTTATCAGTTGGAACAAAGGGAAGGAGAGTATGATTTAGGATTCGATGTCGTATTATGTAACTACAAACAAATAACATGGCTATTATACATGTTGTTTAGCAAAAACATGGCCAAGTATGTCGGAATTGAAATTAGTTGAATCTAACAAAAGTTTTTGTTTGTAAACTAAAGAAAAAGTAGTTAATTAACGTAATATCTGAAGAAAGAAAAGTAACTTTGTATAATATAAAGTTTGACCATAGATTCCATGGCAATTAAATTATATAATAACAATATTTTATGTTTAAGATGAAATAGTTGAGGGATACGTGCACTGAAGTCTGTTTCATAGATGAGACATGGGAAGGCTCAATAAGTTCCGCTGCTACCGGAATTTTTCATTTCATAAATATCATTTAGTCTTTTAAACATAAAAAACTGCTTAGAATTTTCAATCCAAATTTCCAACATTTCTTCATTTTTTTGATTTTTAGCTACATTGATTATTTCTTCATTTGTTGTTCTTGTAAAATCATAGTAATGTTGCTAGGTAAGAAGAAGAAGAAGGGAAATTGTTTTCAAGTCGACTACATTGTAAGTGTACTTGAGATCAAGCCTTGGCCGCCTTCAGTTGCATTATGTTCTGTACAAACTGTGTTAATCCAATGGGAAAATGGTGAGCTAAATTCCGGGTTTTTACCTCCTGGTGTGCCTTCCCTTAATGGTTTCGAAGATGGGAAAATCGAGTTCAACGAGTTCTTTAAACTTCCGGTCACATTAACGAGCAAAGACAATTATAACAATCATAATCATGGTTTTCAGAAGAATAACTTGGAGTTTCACTTGTATGAACCAAAAAAGGATAAAGCTGTAAAAGGTCAACTTTTAGGTACTGCTGTTATTAACCTTGCAGAATTTGGGATCATCAGAGATGTTCAGGCAATGACAGCACCAATCGTTATTACTAAAAAGGTTTCGAAAGGTGCTAATGCTCTGCCTCTCCTTTATGTTCAGATTCAGCCTTTTGATAATGAAGGGATTGAGTCTGTGTTACGAATGATGAGCGAGCAAGGTGATGATAATGAATCCGAGCCTGCTTCTGTCACTGATGATGATGGGTATGTGTCTGCTATTTCGAGGACTTCGAGTTTTCGTGCAGGGAATTCGTCTTCTCGGATGGATGAAATGCTTAACTTTGTCAATGTAAGTATTTTGCAGCTCCTTTTATGTAGTCTTATTTCACTGTTATACTGCTTAACAAGTATATTGTATGTAGCATTGTGGTTTCAAGTTTTAGAAGGATGTATCTGTTTATTTTGCCTTCATATAAATGAATGCTTCCATAAATGATGAATTATGTTGTTTTATGCTGTAATGAGAGCTATATTTCTAGTATTTCTTGACTAGCAGGAAAGAAATGTAACTTTAATTTATGAGTTTGAACCTTGAAATTTTGTAGGTGGGTCTGAATTCGGAGCTAGGGTGTGCTGCAGAGTTACATGATAATGATGAAGGAAGAACAAGGAGTTTGATAGAGAAAAAGGAATACGCGCATAGTGGGGAAGATGATTGGGCCTATGGAAGGAAGAGCTTAGAAAGCAATACTAATGTGTTTGGCAAATTCTCAGAAGTGGCTACAACAAGAAAACAGACCTCAAGAAGTATTAGCACTCTAAAATTTGGGAAAAAGGGGCTTGATCTGCAAGGTTTTGGTGATAAATTGAAGCACATAAAATCTATCAGACTTCCGACGGATTCTCCAAGGTCCAATGGTCCTCCTATTCCTTTGCATTTATTTGACAGGGAAAAGGAAGAGAGTTCTGTAAAGGAGGTACAAGTTGATACCAAAAGTCAGGGAAAAAGTGACAAGAAAGAAAAGAAGAATGTAAAACCTGATAATAGACCTGAACTCGAGTCTAAAATTAAGATGCTCGAGGAAGAGTTGAGAGAAGCTGCTGCACTTGAGATTGGACTGTATTCAGTGATAGCCGAGCATTTGAACTCCAAAAGGAAGGTCCATGCACCGGCTAGAAGGCTTGCAAGGTTTTATCGTCATGTCTGCAGAATGGAATCACAAACTAACAGAGCAAGTTCTGCTAGAACAATAGTTTCAGGAGTTGTTATGGTTTCTAAGGCTTGTGGAAATGATGTCACAAGGTATGAAGTAAACCGAGAAAAAAACCATGTATTACCATTCCTCAAATTTCAAGCTGTTGAACATTCCTTTGTTACAATTTTTGTGGTTGAATTTGCATGATTTTCCCTGATAAAAACTGATTTTTACTGATTTGAACTGGAACAACCTTGTGTTGGAATACTTTTCTGATGTACAGGCTGACTTTTTGGTTATCAAACACGATAATACTAAGATCTATGGTGAGCCAAGTAACTGAAGATATCCCTTCTCTCCCTGAACCAATTCGCACTGATACTAAATCTGGAAGAAAGAAGTCGGAGAAAAAATCTTCCTCGAATGACTCGATAGATAGCTTGGGTGATTGGGAAGATCCACACACGTTCATCATGGCATTAGAGAAGGTCGAAGCTTGGATCTTCTTTCGCATTGTTGAGGGCATATGGTGGCAGGTGTTGCCTATATTCCTTTCAGTACAACTTGTGCCACTGAAATTCTTCTTATATTGTTGTAGCACTTGTAGGTTTTATCTAAATGTTACTATAAAGTACTTATGTTTTAAAATTTTGTGTACTTCCACAGAGTTTTATTCCCCATATGCAGCCAGCGAAAAAGAAGAAAAAGGGAAAGAGGCTGACCTCAAGGAAAACTCAGAGATGGAAATTTGGTTTGGGGGATCAAGAACAAGGAAATTTTTCCATAGAGCTCTGGAAGAAAGCTTTTCACGATGCTTGTGAGCGGCTTTGTCCCATTCGAGCTGGAGGTCATGATTGTGGTTGCTTGCCGATGTTGTCAAAAATGGTAAAATATCTTTGTTTCCACTAATATTTCAGTTATATCACAACCATTTAGACCAGATATGCCATCTATCATAAGTTTCATAACTCATGTTGGTGACACTACATTTTTTGCTTTCTAGGTAATGGAGCATTTGGTGGATAGGCTAGATGTAGCAATGTTTAATGCCATTCTTCGTGACTCGGAAGAGATGCCAACAGATCCAATGTCAGACCCAATCACTGAACTTAAAGTCCTCCCTATTCCTGCAGGGAAATCAAGTTTTGGTGCTGGGGCTCAACTGAAAAATGCTGTTAGTAACTTACAGCAGTATCTGATCCTCTTGTAGTTTCTGTTCCAAATGTTTACAGAGTGATTGAATCATATGGACTTTGTTGCTTGGTTTCTTGAACTTGTAACCAGGTTGGAAGCTGGTCGAAATGGCTCAGTGATTATTTTGGTCTTGAAGAAGATCACCCGTCAAAGGATCAGGATGAATCCAATGAAGAAGATGCCATCAAGGCTTTCCATCTCCTTAACGCATTGGGTGATCTTATGAGGCTTCCCCTTGGAATGCTTGCTGATGCCACCACAAGGAAGGAGGTGAGTAAAACTGGCATTAGAAAGAAAAATTCACTGTAATAACCAAATACCTATTTCACTACTTAGAGAAGTTTACAAAATTAGGATGTCTGTTACAGACTGTTAGCTAAGGGCTTACTCGTTGAAAATTTTGAGATTCAAGTTTTTATGAAAATTAAACATGAACCACTAGTCTGGGAAACAACAATATACAGTTTTCAGTATTGTGTTGTCAGTTTACAAACTGAAAATGGCTAATTTATGTATGAGTAGTGTTAAGCAATTATGTACAGCTTTTAAAATCTCAACTCAAAAACTGAAACTGACAGTGATAATGCACAAGTCCTAAACTAATGATGTTTCTAGGGGTCATACCATATAACTAGATGCGACGCCTTTCCAATATATTGTGATTAGGCAGTAGCCATTTATTTCCTCCTGTATTGGTAGGACAGAACACTTCTGAGTACTGAACCTGTAAGTTTGTACTTTGTAGTCACCAGCTGAAATTCTTTGTTCTGATATCTTGGGTTACAACTTTTAAGGTATGTCCAATATTTGGCGGAACTCTTCTCAAAAGGGTCTTCACCAATTTTGAACCGGATGATTTCTCTCCGGATCCCATTTCAGTGGAGGTTCTTGAGGCTTTTGTATCTGAGGTTAGTCCCTTGCTTCTTCAAATCTTCTATGTAACATATTTCTTTGCTGTACTGTAAGCTTTTTTCTACTATTTTCTTGGCTGAGTTATTCTTTTTCTACTCAGGATCCTCATGAGACTACAAATGATTATATTATAAGCTTCCCTTGTGCTGCAAAACCAGTTGAATACTCACCTCTTCCAGCTGCATTGTTCTCGAGTTTGTTAGGAGAAACTCAGAAGAGAAGCGGGTCGTCATTACTAAGAAAAGCACATAACAGTGATGATGAGCTGGACAAGCTGAGTGGTACCACTAGCTTTGATCAATGTTCAGAACATTTGCATTGAATCTGCCTCGTCGAAACCTAACTGGATGCCCAAGGGGAAATGTGGCAGGGATGTCGTCAGGTATAAACTCTTGCAGGAAGCATGGAGAAATGGCTCCTGATACTATCATGCTAACCTCTGCAGCGAGAGGGAACCGTGAAAACATTCTCCATTTTCAATCTAATTTGAAATTTGTTTGATGCTTAAACATATTAAGTGGAGGATCAATTCTCCGAATGGATGCAACCACTCTTGTTAAGTTAAATCAAGCAAGACAACGCAGATTTTCTAACAACTGATCTGCAAGATTTTAAAAGTGTTAGTCTACAAAAAAAAAAAGTTGATCCAGGGTCACAACTACTTCCAGTGTCTAATTATTGTACTTCCTTGAAAATGCCCAAAACTATGTGGTAGACAACTTAAAGCAAAAGTTCTATCTATCTAGCTCAATGAAAAATCACTCCCACGTATCAAAATTAGGGTATAAACAAGGAATTTTGGTATTTTATCGACGAAAAAGGAGGGTAGATATGGAATACATGATACATCACTTAGATTGTATTTTCTTACCCAATCCCCGGGATGAACTAGGAATTCCCAATTGTGCTCGTTTATATAGGGCTAAACCCACAAGCTCTGTTACTTCTGTATTTATCCAAGTTTCAACCAAATAATTGGCCCAAGTTTTATATTCTATATAATGCTTTTTCTTTTTCTTTTTAAGTAACTACTGTCAAAAAAAGGACCTTAATTCTTGAAGATAACATACTTTTGAGTTGGTTGCATAAATTTGATAGGATATGAAAACTCAACTCTGCCATATCAATGATAAGGATTTATAAAACACTTTTTTTTCATTGAATCGACAGAAAAATGTATATGGTGCTTTTTCTAACAAGCAAACTAATATCACAGAACCTAAATTAGCAGACATAATGTCATTCGCTCTGATCTTTACATTCCTATCACTACAGAGATTTGATAAGCTCCGGTAATAACTCCTGACTCTGATATATAGAAGTTCACTACAAACTGAAAGTAGATCACCCATAATGCTATATGTCCAGGACTTCAGGAGAGATTCCTTTAAAGAACCCCAAAAAAAAGGTATTACTCCACTGGAATCTGCAGCAACTCTCGTATCCCTTCACAAACCTGCATGAAATTATTGAGAGCCACTATCAATTGCACACTGTTGAACTAAGAAAAGGTTCAGTCTTATAACATTCATTTCAAGGTCCTTTGAGAAGGGAGCCATCATTCATATTACCATAGCCACTCAAGCTTAAGAAGCAACAACAAAAATGGTTCAAGAAATATGCATACCAGCTTAATTTGAGCTTTGATTGATGCTATCATACGAGTATATTCCTCTATTTGCCTACAAAAGGAGCAAACAGGAAAGTTAAATGTGATTTTCATAGTGGACAATGATATCAGAATGGTTATAGAAGAAACAACACATTTTTGTTCCAGGGGTTGCTCATATTCAACCCACTTTATCCCTGCCTCTAACAGAAGCCTTTTTCAATGCATTTAGGTAATGATGATGTTAATGTTTAACATGACATCATAAGCAATTGAAGCATCTTGAGAAGGAACATTTGTAGTTGTTGAGAGCAAAAAAGTAACTAAGCCACCTAATTGTGACCACAGCCAGCCAACAATATATGGCAAAAACCCTATAACTGCTACCTTACATATGTCTACCAAAAGCATTTTCATATTGACCATTATTGTCTACAACAAAGTCTTCTGACAAGAAAGAAGAGATTGTACTATAATAGATATAAAAATGAATAGAATCTTTTACTTGGCTAGCCGTTCCTCCCTTGCTGCGATGTAATTTAAAGCTTCAGACCAGGTGAATTCAACATGAAATCCCGATCCAACATCTACAAATATGCGGCGTGTGTCAGGGCTGCAAGCAATATACACACACATAATTAAAAAAAAATTAATAAGATGATGATGATGATGATGATGATGATAATAACTTAATATAAATAATCAGCATTAAGGGCTTAGGATGAACAGTGGCCAGGAAAGAAACAAAGGATCAGGACTTGCTCATAAGATATGACAGAAAGGCAGGTCAAGCTCTTACACTTCTGCTTGCATGTACACTTCAGATCCAAGATTGACTAACGTCTTGAGGCTGCTTACGCTATTCTTCTCCAAATTCTGTATGTTCCTCTTCAAATCTGAGCTATTGTTCAAATAAATGAAGGGCAACAAATACTTAACGTTGATGAAACAGGGACAATCAAAATAACTGAGATGACTATGAGAGATATGTACGTTTTCACAGGCTTTTCTCTTCTAGGAACATAGAACTATGCATAACACATCAATGACTCACAAAATTAAAGGTAAAAGCTTTACTTGATACTTACAGTACATTAAATACGGTCAAGAACATAGCAAACTATAATGGCAAGACAAACATGTAAGTTGAATGGAAAAGGATACAATATCTTCTGCCGTTCAAAAACCTTGTCCCTGAGAGCAGATACACGAACACGTTGGCACACCATTATAAAAGAAATAATGTTGGTTTCAAGTTTCTAATTCTCTCATTGAATCATAAACACTCAACAACGCTAAACTCGATATTAAAACAACTTTTCCATAGCTTAGTAACCAATGTAGTATACACCCATGACCCATCAAATTTATACATTGTCTTCAACCATTTAAAGCTTCCCTACTTTCCTATTTGATAGCTGGGGACATAGTTGTGATGTCGTCCAAGTTAATCAATCTTCGAAATTAACACACATCGCGTGCATAAAAGGCTAGTTCTTTCCTATGATAAGCATCTAATTGCACCTCAAAGAAGCTCAAATTATCCAAAGACATAATAAATTAAAAAAAAAAGGTGTTACCTTTCAGCAATGGCCTTAACAAGATCAGGCCTCAACCGACGATCAACAAATTCCTCAAATTTGGTCACCTTTGCTTCTCTGTACTTATCCATTACAACTACAAACAAAAAACAATCAAACAACAAAACCCCAATTAAGAAATGATTAAAAGAATCAGTACTAATTAGAATTAAACAATTTTCAAGTTCTAAGAAGCATTTTAATAAACAGTTGGCAGGCAATAGAAATTTGAACTGTGTCACAGATTAGGGATTGCAAAAGAATGAGATATTTGTGTCAAAATTAAAAGAAAATAATCCAACACTAAAAAATTAATCAATGTCCAAAATTTCAGTGTAGGAGATAACCGGAGTGGTGGAGTTTTCCGTCGGCGTTGGGTCGTCGCTAATTTCCGACTTGCAATGCTTCTGATTGCCGCCGCACAGGGTAGCTTGGAGGGTTAAAGAGCAAGTGAGAAATAAAATACAGAATGTTTCAAAAGAGAGTATTATTAATAACCTTTTAAGTTGTAACTCAACTTTAGAGTTTTAAGTAATTTTAGGAAAAATGTCAATTCATCTTTTCTAATCTAATTCCTCAAATCATGTACCAAAGAGGTATGAATTACATCATGTTGTACAAGTATTTAAAAATAAAAATAAAAATAAAAATAAAAATAGTATGATATGTGAAAGCGCAAAGCGTGGTCGAGGGCCTAGGCTCTAGTGTGGACTTCAAGTACTCCAACTTGGCTCATATAAAGTTTGTTCGCAACTGTCTTTCTAGAGTTTTTCGTAGTGTGGTTTGTTAGTAGTCTTTGTTATTTTCTGTATTTCTTTATATGTACTATTTGTAAAAAAAAAGACTTACCGATCATAAACGGGAAAAAGCTTTAAATGATGTGATCGATCAAAATTACTACTCGTATATAATTGTACTTTAAATGCCAGTGTCTGTAATTGTACTTTTTACCTTTTTTATGTACTTCATTCACTTTCTCTTCTTTAATTTTTGTCTATAATTGTACTTTTTACCTTTTTTATGTACTTCATTCACTTTCTCTTCTTTAATTTTTGTCTATAATTGTACTTTTTATCTTTTTTATATAATTTACCAACTTTTGCCTTCCATTTCTTAAATATCGTGAAAAAACACAAACGTGAACTATATATTGGGACGGAAAGAGGAGGTTAAATGCTATATATATTTTTAAATAGGGTTAATTATAGTACAAAACTTTATAGATGATTAACTAGCTTAGTTGGTTAAAATTTTGAGAGGTGGTATTAAAAACTTGAGATAAAAACGCGTCTACAATATTTGCCCCCTTTAGTGTCTTTCTCTACATTATCAAATCAAAAAGAGAAAGAAAAAATAAATAAATTAAAAAGCAACAACACTTTATTGAATGCCTTTCATATTAATAATCAATAGTTGTTAAACAATATTACACCCAAGAAGCCAAGAAGGCAATAACATGTATGACATATGGTACGATTGCACTAAGTTAAGCTAATATGACGAAGTATAAATAATACAGTAGATTTCAAGATAATTGAAAAATACATATCTAACACTTGTTCATATTACAATGATATTTAAAGTAACAACCGAGAACGTCGAACTAGACCGAGATACACGTACAAATAGCTAGTTGATCAATTAGAAGACCGATTAATTAAGCTAAGTATGTAACAACCAATTGGTTATAGGTGCAGTGGTGATTGGGGATGTACTTGATAGGGAGGACCGTGTATTCGATTCCCCACGACAATAATTGAGAGGCGATTGAAACCTAACCATTCAGAATTGAGCCCTGAATTCGAATTAGCCCAAAGGGTGAATTGGATAGAACAAAAAAAAAAAAAAAAAAAAAAAAACCTAAGTATGTAACAGTCATCGGTGCAGATTGTTGGCCATGTATAGCATTTAGCTGACTTTCCACGAAAGTACATACTTTATAGACATTGATAATATGATCAACCCCTCATAAAACACCACGTACACGCAACAACACTCACTGATACACAAATGAAGCACCCTATCATCAGCATCAGGCAGTATGCACGAGTCTCAGCTTCTCTTTTCGCCGCCGCCGCAGCAGCAGCAGCAGCAGCAACAACAACCATATCCTCGGCTTTTCTTTTCCTTGCAGCAACAACCAATGCAGCCTTAGCTTCTCTTTTCGTGGCAGCAGCAGCCTCCTCAGCCTCAACCTCAACCTCAACCTCGGTGTTGTTAATACATGTTCGACAAAGATTTGGCACATTATTTGCCATTATTTGTGCTTTCACTTGGCCTTGTCTTCCTCTGTAGTACATTGCAGTATCTTTGTGATTCCAATCCTCTTTTATAAGTTCTGCTACTACATTTTTTAGTACAATTTTACAGAATTTCCAGCAGATTTTACGTTTTGTGCTTTCTTTCACTAAAGAACCTGATATTATTACAGCACCACAACGTTGGCAACATATGAAATGGCCCATGGTACAATTATAGTCCGCGAATGTAGTTGAGCGTAGCTAATTGCCACTATCTATGTCCAAAAACAAACAATAATCATATTAGTACTTCGGATACTAGCTAATAATGCGACAACTAAATTAAAAAATATATTAATGTAAATGTGTTGGCCATACTGGTATTGAACAAACCATGTTCTTTAGACTCCTAGGACTATGATTAATGATAAGTATGAGAGATTTGCGACAATGTAACATAGTTTCATAGGTATTTTGTTTGTGAATTGTGATATCACAATTAATCTTAAATTCTTAAGTAAGGCCATAAAGCCATAAACTAACCTTGGTGTTTATTAATCAAATAGAATACAAATGATGTAAAACAAACCAAAAGGGAGCATAACAATAATATAATCCAATAAAACATCATGAAAAAGAATAGTTTTGTTAGATACGTTACTAATCTTAGGTGGAGTTGTTACCAACACCAACATAATATAACCACAATCTTTATTTTAAGTTACTTGTATGTACTATATGATCAATACTTTTTACGTACTAGTGACAAATCCAATATATGTGGCATACGGAGCTGGAACACAAAACTACTTACGAAGTAGTTCTTCCGTTTTTTAATACTTACAACTCTTTCTTAAAATGAAAATGTCACAATACTTGTAACACACTATAATTGGATTTTTTTTAATGGAAAGTTGTACTATAACCCTTTTTTTAAGCTCATGGCCTACTAAATTAACTCCTAACAATCTCTCACCCTCATTTTAAGTTTAATAAATCATGTGAGGCCCACTTTTCAGTGTAGGTTGCAAGTATTTAAAAACGGAAGAAATATATCTTAATAGAAAAGGACAAAAACTAACGAACGCTCCGGGGGCGTTGGTTAAGATTATTAAAAGTAGAAGTATTAACTTGAAATAAACATTAATTACACCGATCGACGTATGATTTTGGCATGCATTCCCAAATTAATATCATTTTAAGATCTATTTTAAAGGTTATCTAACGTTCGGAAACGTTCTTCAGCAAGTTTCTAAGAAAAATGAGTTAAAATGCAACAATTATTCCTACAGCTAGTAAACTGTTTGTATATGATGCTAGAAAATAAATCATTTATTTTGTTCGAAAGGATTTGACATAATTATTTTTATTAAGCATTTATTTTGTTCGCAAGGACTTGACATGTTATTAAAAAAAACACTTTGCATGCGATATGAAGAGGGTTGGATGGTGGTGGAATGGTGGGTTGATAGTAGTAGACATGGTCGAGATGGTGGAAAACTGGACGTGGTGGTTTAGCTATATGAAGAAAAGAGGAAAAATCGAAGTCGCTTGTCACTCACGTGGGATCAATGATCGAAATCTGGACAAAGGTCCTAGTCAGATCAACAACAAATAAAATAACTTGAGGCTAACTTGAGGTCTCAAGGTGTCACTTTTTTTTTTTTTAGTCCCAAAATAAAAGGTCATATTTTTGTTTCAATTTGACGTATTAGAATTACTCCAAAGAAAACTCAACGTAAATACAACTTTTTTTGAGGTAAAACAATTTGGAATGAATAGTTTGTGTATGTACAACTGTGATTATTAATAGTTCCGAATAGAGAGAGCAATCATATATTATTATAACAAAATATCGAATCATCAAGAATGAGAAAGATCTAGATCATCATACCTGGATTAATAAAAGTGAATGATGTTCGTCAAGAATAATTAAGATAGAGATGGACTGATATACACTTTGGTGATTACCACCAATGAAGAGCCTTTAAGTATTTCTTATATTTTCTTTTGTTTTGGCAAATATGGCTTAGAAATACATGATGTGAAAGTTCATACATTAACTCCTTATATACTACTCGTACTATACACTCACTTAATTATCTCACTCTATCTATATTATATGTACTTCACTAGTCCGTCCTTGAACTCATTAAGCTCACTGCTCATGCATGCATGCACCACGCTTAATTACTAATATAATGATGGTCAAATATAGTAAGATAATATTAACATTAATTAAATCATTACCCATACAATAATTGGATGAGAATTTAATTAGTATATATTATTAGTGATGTATGTCCAATTATTTTGAGACAACATAAAGGGAAACCAATTCCATCTATTACTCTTCACCTTTAAATCATTATACTCCTACTAACTCTTTATCAAAATAATGGCTACACTTGTTAATTTATGTTGATCGTGCCGTTTTAAAAATAGTGTTTATAGCTTATACTCTATCATATTTCGTATTAAGATATGAAGCTTATTACGGAGTATTAATTAACTACACATCTTGGCTTGGTCTACTGCTTCAATTTTTAATTCCCATATCTCACTTTTACTTTCCAATTATATATTTCTTTAGTTTAGAATAAAAAAAAAAGTTGAAAATATTAATTCAATACAATTGGCTATGGGCTATGGTCATATTCGGCAAAATGTATCTATAGAGGTAGCTTTTAGCTGTGGTATTATTTGTTAGCTGTGGAGTAATTATTAGTTGTCAACAAACTGTTAGTAGTGTAGATAAATAATTAAGTATAAATGATAGTATAATAGCGGTTGACTAGATATTACCTATAAATATGAAGAAAAAAAAAACCCAACAACTAACCTCCACCGCTACATTATTGAACACTCAATTTTTTTATTAAAACTTATTTGACTTTTTCAAACCACTAAAAGTTACTGCGGAACACGCCTTATGTTTTATTCACTTTATTTCAGAACCTTATTACATTGTTTTGATCAAATACTTATTACGAAGTATAAAAAAAACAATTAAGTTCACTTTATATTATATAAGAAAAAATAAGATAAGGTTAGACTTTATCGTTCTATTTGTGATTTTTAATATTCTCTATATATTTTTTAATATTGTGATGAAAATATTATTAAAAAAAAATTACATATTTAGAAAATATACATTAATATAAATCTAATAAGACCTCATTTGAAATATTTTTTCTTACAGAATTGTGTACTACGTATAAATATTGTCAAGGTCTTGTCAAATCAGATTAAAAAAAAAAAAAGTCCATGTTAGATGAGATTAGAATAATAGGTCAAATCTTATCACATGAGCAATAATAAGATGAACTAAACATAGTCAAAAGCCGAATTATTATATTCATAGGTAACATAGTTTAAGGGGCAGCATTATAAAGCGTCGTATAGAAACACAAGGAGACACTATATTTTATGCACCTCAATTACTTACTGCTGGACGATGAAGCGGCACATCGACAAACAATAGGCTGCGCGAAAACACCCCACTTCTATAAATTAAACAAAATAAGGTGACGAAATCGGAAATATTCTCCATTCTTCAAAACCGGATGATATGATTTTGTTCTTGATTTGCCTTAAATAATTATATAGAGATACGAACAAATGTAGTACGAAGTAGTGCTTTAATTAATTAAACAACTACAAACGAAAAATATGTTCCAATCTCTCATATGACAACTTGTCAATGGAATAATTATAGTGGTAAAGTTGGTAATATTAGCTTACGTTGGTACTTAATGACAAATTTTAGTATTTAATTTAAGCCTTAGATTTTAAAAAGTGTGCCACGGCACAAAACGGCAGAAGCATAATATGTACAGGCACAAATTGTACGACACATGTTATTGTGCAGATTGGATCGTGAACCACCGTATTAGATAGACCAAAAGTTTTGTTAAAGACACTGCATATCACAATAAGTTTGAGCTTTGTCATACTCATACGGAGTATAATAGTATATACTTCGTATATGTATACTCAACTTTGTCCTAGATTAGTTTGAACACATTTATTTTATTTGCTCTAATGTAGTTCCAATTTCTTTTTTCGCAAGGTTCAGTCATTTGGGTCAAGACGATGCCTCAAATTATATGATGGTGTGCTTGTATTGCAAGACAAATTATGTGGTGATGGTGAGGTATGAGGTGAAAAAAAGAGGCTCATTTTGGGGGTAATAGTTATACTAGGGGAAGGGTGTACGTGTAACTATTACCCTCATTATGAGGATAATAATTCCTTCATCTCTCTTTTCCTCATGGAACAACTACCTTATTTCATTTGTAAACACCATACCTCCTACAACAACACCTCTAATTACTTATGTTTTTTCAAGTTTGACTTTTATTACCCCATTAATATATTACCCTCAATCCAAGCATGCCCTAACTGTGAGTATGTACCTTTTGTCCCTTACTTTGTAGGTGACTACGTGTGTTAAAAATACTCCATGAAAAATAATGTCATGATGATATTATAAGGATAAAGACATACCTGTGAATTTAGGTTAATTGTTTAACTTATGAAAATTTTCAATTACCTACAAGGCTAAGCTTCAACGATCTATTATCACATTAACAGTGTAATTTAGATTAGGACTTTTTGTTAAAAATTACCTAATAAAACTCAGATTTTGTGAGAAACTACCTAATAAAAAAATGTTGTAATAAACTACCTAATAAAGGTAAAATGTTGTAAAAAAACAACCTAAAAAAAGGTAAAATGTTATAAAATACTACCTATACCGAATTTCCACCGTTGACCAACCTCCAAACACTATCGAAACCACCATTTTCATTTCCAAAACTAACATAACTTGCTTGAAATTGCCTCCACCACACCTAAACCACCCTTTCAACCCCTAATCCACCATCCCGAGGCGCTAATCTACCCTCACTAACTCGGAATATCCTCCAACCGCCCTGAAAATAACCTTAATTACCACCTTGAAAACCAACCCTCACAGTGGATTTGGGGGTGTTTTAAGATGGATCAACGTCGTAAAATTAATCAACGGTGGAAATTCGGTCAAAGGTAGTATCTTACAACATTTTACCATTTGTTAGGTAGTTTCTTACAATATTTTTTTTATTAGGTCGTAGTTTCTCATAAAATTTAAGTTCTATTAGGTAGTTTTCCACAAAAAGTCCTTTAGATTATAAATCATTTTAACTATATGTTTAATACGAAGTATTTTGACTCCTTCCACTAGCCCGTATGCAAAGAAATAAATGAGCCTCGAGGAATTATAACAATGGTCGTAATTGACCCATTTGGCCGCTTATACTCTCACATCTCATTATGCTGGGCCCATTTAAATTATAAGAAGTATTAGACGACTTGGAGTAGACTTGTCCTTGTGACTTTGTCAATGAAACTACGTTCGTCGTTGCACGAATTTAATCTCTATATCGTAAGACAAGAAGTGAAGAAAACAACTATTACGAGATTTTTTTATACAACTAGTGGTGAGTAATACTGTACGGATTACGAGTATATCCTATTTTTTATTTTTCCATTTCAATTCCTTGTTTATGTGCAAGTTTAAACATTTATTTTATTTTAATTTTCTTTATGAAAATAAACATGCACACGACACACCCGCACATCTCATCCCTTCCCCAAAAAAACTAATCCAAATGGATTGGTTAACCCCAGCCAATTAGATGGTTCATTTTTCATGCAGCTAACCCCATTATTGAATTAAGACTTCGATGTTGTTATTGTAGCTAGATTCTAAAAAATAATGTTACAGAGTTTTTTTTTTTTTTTTTTTTTTTTTGTGAAAAGTTATGCATTGTAATTTGGAAAAATATCATATCGATACTAAAAATCTAGCATTTAATTTTATTTTATTTTATTTTTTATTTTTTTTGTTATCTTGACTAGTTAGGTTGATCAACACATCAAAGCTAGCTATAATGGGAGCATACATCTGCGCACATCCTTCCCTAAGAGAGAAAGAGTTTGGCGATCGATTCGTGTTCACCTGTGACGGATGTGAGGAAACGGGGTATGGCTCTTGCTATACATGCACAAATAATTGCGACTTTCATTTACATAAAGCTTGTCACAACGCTCCCCCTACAATCAAGTCTCACCCATTTTTCATACAAGGGCCTTTTGTTTTAGACAAGAGTATCATATTAGCACCACAAGCGGCACATAGTTGTGCCGCTTGTGGAACAAGTGTACAAGGGTGGAGGTATGTATTGACTACTAATAATATATTTAGTCATAATACTATCTATTTACACCCTTGTTGTATGCAACTCCCTCACACGGCCTTGCTCCCCGTGCTTAAAAGCATAGATTGCTTGCATTGTCAAAGCATGGTGAGAGTTGGAAATAATAATAATTGTTTGGGTCCAATTTAGTCCAATTGGGCCTAAGCACTAAATGATCCAATTAAAAGCCCAAGGTCAAGGTTCAACTCTCCAATTGTGCTAAAGTCAAAGGTCAGCCCACAAAGCAAGCCAATTGGGCTAAGGCCCAACCTCTCCATGTATGATGAGGTATAAAAGCCATCAATATTGATACATTCAGATTCTGATTCATTCATAGATTCATATGTTCATTCATATATTCTGATATATTCCATAAAAGCCTCAAGCAACAAACTCTCTTGCATAGTGTCCTCTTCTTACACATTGTACTGACTTTAGCATCGGAGGGGCCTTCCTCGGCAACACCCCCGAGGCTAGTTTACGTGTGTTTACTGTGCAGGAAACCTTCGGCCCAGCATAACTTGGACCGAATCCAGCCTTCTCCATTTCAGCGGACCTTCGGCAAGGTCCCATTGTTTTCACCCGAAACAATTTGGCGCCGTCTGTGGGGAAGAGTTTCAAAAATCTTTAAGCCAAATTCCTAACCAAGATCATCTTGCAATTATCTTAGCAGCAATGGCTAAGAACCGCAAGAGCAAAAGCCTCCGTCAAGGAGCGGGCGAAAAGCCTAAAACCCCTACACCATCACCCTCGCCGGACCGGAACTCTCCCAAGGGTGCCG